AACTTGTCCTCTAGCCTGTGCAACACAGCCTTGGCCTGACAGAGGCTGAGCCATTAACCAATATCCTGACCTTCTCTCCTCACCCTGCACCCTTTCTACTGCACCCACCACCTGCCTGAAGGCAAACAGAAGCTTAGCTCTTGGTGACTACTCCATCGGGTTCATCTGTCCCACTCCACGTCCCTCCTCTCCGCCGTTTCTGTCTGTCCTGCAGAGAGGCCAATGACTGCCCAGAACCACCTGCCCCTCCAGAAATCTCCCTGTTTCTTAGTTCCAGTCAGGCAACAGCTTGCCCACTGTGTCTGTCACTTTCAACACAGAAACAGGTGGCCCACAGGAGTTCCCCAAAGCTGGTAGCTGAAAAGGTAACATGATCTCCGCCTGGGTGGAGACTATGGTAGACCCTGCAGGGAACCGCCACAGATGCAGGGGAGTTGCTTTCTAAGGCCTCTCTGCCTGGTGCTTTTTCTCACCCAGGGAGCTCTCTCCTCTCCTTCAGTGCTGGATCCAAGGTCACTTATCGGTGGGCCTCCCCTGGCCACCTACACAAAACGATCATCAAGTCCCCACCATCCACACCCACAGACTCCCTGTCTCAGGACCTGCTCTCCTCTACCCAGGGAACGCAGGTGTCTGACTTGCTCTATGCTGCCTCATTTGTTCAGTCTCCCTGGCACACCCAACCCATGGGCCCGGAGCATAAGCTCCCGGCGGGAAGGGACCATTCTGTTCTGCCATTTATGGGCCAACTGCTGTACAGATGGAAGAAAGAGTTAAGGAAAATGTGCTATGACAGATAAAGCAGACCAGGCGGAAGGAGACATGGGGGCTGCATGTAAAAGGGCTCAGAAAATGAGCGATTAACATGTGAGCAACACCCCATGCCTTTTGGAGGGCAAGAGTAGTTGGATGAGGTGGCCATCTCAGAAAAGAGGGTCCTGTCAGTACCAAAACACTGGCCTATGATTCCGGGCCCGGTCCTATCTGACTCAGAGGTCAGCAGAGATGACCATATCAAGAAACTCACTCAAAACCAAAGTCACAGCAGCACTGGACTGGATCATGGTAAAGAGCCCCACAGATGTGATGGCTAGAGCTCTGCAATCATCCTAGACGACCGAGACAAAATCTACTCTCTAAAGATGATGACTCAGGGGCCTGGTGACATCATGAGGCCCCTGTGCCAGCCAGGAATCCCTCCTTCAGGACTTCATTTAGATGAGAAATCACCCCAAGCTCATTGAAGGCAGTAATGTGGGGGTATCCGTGGTCTACTCTGTCAAACCTGGTGGAGTAAGGAAAGCTCATCGAAGCAGTAGATCCTGAACTCTACTCCAAGTATGGGAATCCTCTTGCCAGAATGGGATCACAGCGACAGTTCCTGAGAAGGGACAGCCTGTCCCACAGCTTGGGGACCACAGGCTGGGCCAGGAAGTTGAAGCCAGCTGCTGGGACTAGGAGGAAGGGATGATTGGCTTTTATCTGACAAGGGAGAAGAGCTCTTCAAAGAGGAAATGCATCACAAAAGGGGAAACACTGGCCCAGAACTCTCGCCGGGCCCCAACCAGTCAGCAACTCCCCAGCAGCCTCGCCATTTCCTCACTTCCTCAATTTTAAGAGCTATGTGCTCCTAAAGATCATTTCTAGGCCGGATGCAACCTGGTGACAAAGTCTAGCTTCCTTTGTCCTCACCAATACTACAAAAATTATTGTGTGTCTAACGTCACTTGCACATGTAAAACATGATATGAGGAGCTAGGGACACAGAATTTAAAAGATGTCAGGGTTAATGCCCTCAAGGATTTATTGTCTAGCAAGGCAGACCATTAATTAACTCAATAATTACATAAACACTACCATGATGTCATCAAGGAAGAGGACTTGGAGCTATGAGACTGTGTAATGGAGCCTGGAAAGTTTACCAAGGGAAGAACACTCTGCCTGAGACCTGAAAGCTGAATGGTTTGGGGGGTATTCCAGGCTGAGGCACAGGCATGTGTGAAGTGGTTCATGAGAAAAGCATTCAAATCCTAGGAAGAATTAAGTCACACATGAGTGAAGCAAGCCTCTTAGAACTATGGGTTTAAAGAAAAAAGGTGCACTTTTCACCAAAAATAAGATGGTCAGCCAGCTGTGGTGGCACACACTCATAATCTCAGCACTCAGGAGGCTAAGGCGGGAGGGTTGCTGCAAGTTCGAGACCAGCCTGGGCTACAAAATGAGCTCAAGGCCAGCCTGAACTGCATAGTGAGACCCTGTCTCAAAAAGAAACACACACACACAATCAAGATATAACATAAACCTAAAAGTCACGGGAGCAATATGACCCCAGAACAGATAAACCCTCCCACCCCACCATCAGCTGGTAGAAGCCCCCAAACCTCGCCCCCTGCCACAGCACCCAAGATGGCATTTCCTTGAAATCCTCTGCAGCTCCCTGCAGGCCCTGGGTGAGGGACATGGCTGTCAGGTCTGGGCCCTGCAAGGGAACAGGAACAGAATCGGAAATACATCTTCCAAGAGAGGAGGCTGGTCCTGGACCTAATCCGTGAGTTAATATTTCTAGTGCCAAGCATCATGCATATGAAGTATGATGGAAAAATATGGTGAACATTAAATTTTTAAAAATTGATTACAGTTTGGCAAGCGCTAGGTCATGAGTTCAATCCCTGGTACCAAAAAACAAAAAAAAAATTTATTACAGTATAAGTGTCTTTAGTTACACTGAAGTGGTTGCCTCAAAGTCCTGAAGTCATTCAAAACATTGAACCTGCACAGTAATTTTGACTTTGGGGAAGAGGCAGAAGTCACACAGTGCCAGATCCGGTAAATAAGGAAGATAAGGACACACTATGTTTACACAAACCTGCCTTTCTGTCGGATGGCACTCAGTGGCAGCAGTCACAGTGTTTTTGATCACACTTCATAAAAACATTCATGGAAGTGGACTTCCAGAACAACGTCAGAAAGTGGCCACAGCAACAGGATGAGGGGCAATATTTCGAGAGGGATTCGTGGCAATGTCTTTCAGCATGACTTTTTATTTATTTATTTATTTTTGGTCTTTTTCGTTTTGTTTTGTTTTTTTTTTTATCGGTACCAGGGATCGAACTCACGACTGCCTGCTTGCAAGGCAGGCGCTTATGCCGCTGAGCTAAATCCCCAGCCCTCATAATGACTTTTTAAATTTAAGCACTCACTGTGTTTTTCAATCACACCTCACAGGCCAGGTAACAAGGCATGACAGTCACGAGACAGAAGAGAAAGAAGACGCCTTTCCACTGTGGGGCTCCCTGAAGAGTTCTAAGAACAGGATAGTGCATGAAGATTGGAAAGACCTGGAAAAGGGTGAAATACCCCAAAAATGGGCATCTGCGTGAGCAACAAGAGCCTCACTGCAGCTCAGGATAAGAAGGCAGAGGCTGCAATGGCATGAAACAGGCCCAGGCTGCTACCTCTGATTCAGTAGGTGGAGATGACAATGTTGCTCTTCAGGATGTGTTTGCAAACCACATGGAACCCCAGATCTGCCCAGACTGGTCCCGTGGCTAAAGACCCTTGACCCTCCCCTTGCACCAGTACCATGTTTCTCAACTGTTCTAAGATTCACATCTGAGATGTGCTGTTCTATCTCCAGACGCCAGTTGGGTAAACAGGGATGAGCTCTAGGTCTAAACATCACCAGAAATCAAAGCTCCTCCAGCCACCAACTCCAGAACCTGGATTCTTGGCCTCCTACACAATGAGGTCCTGAACTAGTTGTCCCCTCTTGGTCACAGTGGGTGTCTTGATGGACTCACCTTTCCAGTGTGGGGGACAGATCTTCACTGTCATGGAGAGAAGCAGGAATGGAGAGCTATGGAGTACTGGGTATGAACTGGCCCCAGGTCTAGGGACATTCTCAGGGACAGTGACAGGTGACAAGAAGGAAAAGGGGACACCGTGGGCAAAGGGCACAGCTTGTGTAAAGGTGCAGTCAACACATTTAAGCAAAAAGTGCATAGAGGGTAGAGATGAAGCCAGAGAAGGTCAGGTTCACCACACAGCCGCCGACAAGAAATCAGAACTCAAAGCCAGGCAACAAGGAGCCAGCCGCCACTGACCTCCGAACCCTGCAGGGTCCTGGTGAGCTGGGTTCAAATACAGAGACCCTTGCTCTCCCCTCACTGCCCTTTGTTAAGGTTGCCTACTCCTATTCAAAAAGCAGATTCAGATCCCCCTTCTGCACAACTATCATGTCAACACCACACAGTAAGGTGGTACAGGAACCCAATCTGGAAAGCAGGTGGTGGGGCAGCGGACAGGAGAGGTGGCGGCTGCTGCCCAGGCAGATTAGTCCAGCCTGGACAAGGCAGCGAAACCTGCTCTCCTCAGGTCATATGGGCACCTCCTAGGGCTTCCTCTTTCTCACTAAGAAGAACCTGCATTTCTCTAGGTGGATTCAGGACCCTCGAGGCATGGGGGAAAGGGCCCCAGCGACAGAGACACAAGATGGTCCCCACTGGGTTGGACCAGATCTGACTCAAACACGTCAAGTGTTACCGAGCAATGCCAAGCCAACGTGGATGTTCCCAGGGGCCCAGCCAAGATCCTGACCTTGCTCAAATAGCCACTGGCGCCTTCACGTGACCAGCTGCATCCTTGGCAGTCAAAGAATACAAGAAGAGGTGCAGACTGGAGGTGTCGCTGAACTCTGTCTGCAAGCTTGTACAACAGAGGCGTGCTGATTCTCCAGGGGGCAGCACAGAACAGGGGTGAGGGGAGTGAAGTGGTCAGTCAAAGCCGCTGTTCCACTTTTGCACCAGGGAGCCGTCTCACTCACAGACACACCCCCGGGACAAGCCTCTAGCAAGGTGTGAATGCACACTCGGCCAGGAGGAGGGAGTCGGGCTCCCAGCGTTGGAGGTGCACAGCACAAGGCTGGTCCCCTTTACCGCCAGCCCAACCGGCGCACTGAGGCACCAGGATTGGACATGGGCCCTGGCAGTGGCCCGGCTCACCTTGCACTTGAAGCCCGCGGCGGGCGGAAGGAGCTCCCGCAGCAGTGCCTTGGCCACCTCGCGGCTGGCCTCCTCGCTCACGAAGTGCAGGTTCAGCACCTCATGCACCTCGAACTTGGCGAGGCGCAGCAGCGAGCGGAGCGCGACGCGGGCCTTGGCCTGCAGCGCGGCATTGTGCTCCGCCTTGGTGAACATCATCAGCAGGTGATAGTCCACCGGCCCCGGCACGTCGCCCTCCAGGCTCTTGGCCTTGGCTCCTGGGGCCGGGGCCACCGACCCCCGCGCCAGGTCCAGCGAGGGAGGCGAGGGCAAGGCAGGGGCGCCAGCGCGGGCCTCCTTCAGCCTCTTGGTGGCGCTGGAGAAAGTCTCACGGCCAGAGCCGAGATAGTAGAAGGCACAGACGGCAAGCGCCGCGGCCAGCAGCAACGCGCAGTGGTGGGAACGCACGGCGCCCAGGCGTGCCATGGTCCGGGCGCACGCGGGCGCGCGCCGCAGGAGGCCCATGCGCCAAGGGGACCCAAGCGAAGCGGCGCCCGGTGGCACCCAGGCCCACGGCCGCGGCGGCCATGGCAGGGGCGGAGCCGCGAGGCGCAGAGCCAATCACTGGCGTAGCCCGCGGGGGTGGAGCCAGCACGAGCCCTTGGCCACCGGGTCCTAAACTCACAAGGATTAGTAGCCCAAAGGCCGGTTCCACCCCATAGCTAGCTAGGTAGTCCTGCTCCTAACCTCCTTAGCCAGCTGCTGGACAGCGAAACTGGCCCCTGAAGAAACTGCGGATACCCAACGCAGGACCTTCGGTTAGCATAAAGACACAAGTAAAGGGAGTCATTTTATCTTTGTACATTTCCCCCTAATTTTTAGAGTATCTATGTCCCCTCCCCAACTGGTTTCATCTCTTGGAAACTAGGGCGGGAAATGTAAACTAGAACGTTCTTTCTCCTTTCGCGCTGATGTAGGATTACACCGCCTCCATCCTGGGCACTCTGGGATGAAGCAGAGGAAATCTAAGGATGTGGTCAGCAGGGGGACCCCGCTGCTCATTATGATCATTTTAGAGCCCCTCAGTAGTAACTCTCAGGATTCCGCTGCCAATTCATTTAACAGACTGAAGTATGTTCTAAAGAGAGCCAGATATGACCTAAGGAGTTTTGCAAATTTTTAGCCAACTTTTAACTTGCCCCAAGCCCTATAACAGCTACAACCCACTCATCCCTAACTCACCCGCTATTACTGAGTTCCCCCAAGCCCCATTCCTGAAAAACACTGGACCTCTGAAACAGATCTGGCAAAAAAAAAAGTTCAACCCACTGGGTTGGGGGCAGAATTACCCCTGTTCAGACGGACGTCATTTAATTCTCACCATTTTGAGGTAGGAGTATTTACAATCAAGGAAAGTGAGGTTTATAGAACTATCTAACTTTAGTTGTCTGTAAGGAATGCAGCCAGGATCCCAACGTAAGTCTTACCAAAGCCCAAATTTATGTTAGCAAAGATTAACATAATTGAAGCCCAGAATGGTATTTTACCACAAGCTTTTATATGTAACCCGGGTTAAGAAACCAAACTTTCCAGTAGATGTCCACAATCGGACTCCAACACTCTAAACTGTTAAGACTTTAGGCAAAGTCCTGTACTTAATCAGTCTGAACCACAATATCACCCAGTGGAAAGTGGGACTGAAACCAGTATCTACTCTTCATAAGGTTAGGAAGGCATAGGTTAAAAGCACAACAGTACTCATAGTAAAGAATAAATATACTTTGCCAGAAACACTAAACTCATTGTTTTAAAAGCTTAAATATCCAACACATGCAAAAACATAATTTAGCAACCACATCTCTTCTAGAGTATCTACAATGTGAAATACCCAATCTCTAATAATTACAGCTCTAAATAATAGGAAAAAATAATTCTGGATTTAGGCCTTTAAGTACCCTACACATACCATTAACAGGTGCTTCTTCTTCATGTCACTTATTCTAGAATTTATTCAACAAATTTGCTTTATTTTTCAGACATAAGATCCACTTCTGAAGCTTGAGTAAGAAATAAATGACCATTTAAATCATAAAGCCACCAAAATGCATAGTTTATTGCTCCTAGTTCTTTGCCCAGAAAGTGTGGCTCCCTGACTGGAAACCACAGCAGTAGTGAACAGCACATACGGTCACTGCAGTGCAAACCCTAAACCCATCCTCAGAGAACATCCAGGCTGCCTGTAAGAGAAAGTGTGCACCATGCTTCATGTGATACATGCTATTTTCTAGGTTTAAAGTGGACACAGTGGTTGTGTCATAGCTTGACTAAGTACACAAAGAACGCTGGCAAGCACATAACCCTGCAGTGCAGTTTCACTTTGGCTGGGTTCTCAGATTTCTGACTAAAGATTAGGCAACTGATTTTTCATGTTGTGTAACTCCACATCTGTAAGGCTGGGTAGACAGCCAACCTCTGGCCTCAGACACTGATCTTCATGTCACTCAACAGGCATGGTCTCTAAGCCCCTCCCTCTCCAGGGTCCAGGCGAGGGCACCCTCCTCAGCCACCCCATGTTGACCACCCATGTACACCATCCCAAGCCCAACTTCTCCACAGGGAGGAGATGCCAAGAACAGGAGCTCTTGTCCACTATTTTTTTTTTAAAGCAATAGTATCTCCAGTACGTAACACTGTGCTGGACACATTGAATGAGACTCAAAAATACACTATGGCATATAGCCAGCATTTTGCATTCAAAGATTTCATCCTAAGGAAATAATTAAGAATGTACTAAGATATTTCACCAGGCAAGCCAAGTTTATAACAAAAAAATTGAAATCAAATCGTCAGCAAACTAAAATACGTAGCCATTAAACGTAGTCAATAAACTGCAAATCCAAGTATTTTTAAATGGAGAGAAATTCTACTGTTAAAGAATCAGAAGACTTTGCCAACTGGAACTCACATGAATTCTGATTTGAATAGTCTATTTTTGAAAATTGCAGTTCAGACAGTTGGGAAAAATCTAAGTACTACCTATGTAGCTAAACAGTTTAAAGAAGTCATATGCAATTATTTGAGTTTGTTTGAGATTCACATGGAATGACATGCTGGGGAAATGTCTGAGATGTAGTTCAGAAAAAAGAAGGGAAAGAGAGAAATTAGCAGAGTTTCAATAAAACAATGTTAGCCATGAGCCGATGGCTACTGAGGATACTCTACTCATAGGCATCCTCGAGATGTTCCACAAAACACTTTCAAAGCAGGTAAACTGTGTGGCCCCACTTTATAAACGCATTCCCACAGGTCTAGAAGGCTGACAGGCCAGGAAGAGCAGCTTCCAAGAATCACCTGATCCAGCTCAAGGGACTGGGGTGCTCTGTGATCAGCCCCCCTGAGCCACGGGTGGCTCCTGAGCTCAGCTCTTACGACTGAATCCTGAACGGAGTCTAACTCTCTTTACTCACGTAGCCACATGGGACCAGTGGACACCACTGTGGACAATACAGGAGCATGTCAGAATTATAGACAATTCTCTTCCTTCTTACCTGTCATTTTTTACAGTAAGAAAAAGGTAGACTGCTTGGCTTTCCATTTAAAACATTTACTGATGACAGATGTAGATTCCTTTCTGCAGAGGATGCTTCTGAAAGTGACATGGAGCTAAATAAAGTAAGTTACATGAAAAGTTTATGTACATGCTGGGATGTTGGGGGCTTTTTGTTTTTGTTTTTTTTGTTTTGTTTTATTTTGTTTTTCAGGCCCAGAGATCAAACTCAGGACCTTACCCTTGCCAGGCAGGTGCTTTACCGCTGAGCTATACATGTTTTCAATGTACAGCCCTTGTACATGCTTTCAGTGAACTTTTTTTAAAAGTCAAAAAGCAGGCAATTCACTTCCAATTTTCACTTTCCAGCTCTCCATTCCTTCAATCTTAATTTATACAGGAATATGTTTTATTAAAAGCATGGAGTATGAATGTGTTGCCTAGATTAATAACTTCAACATGTAGGTCAATCATAATGAGAAAAAATTAGAGGAAGGACCAAAAAGAAAAAAGCTTTCTACAGTTTGTTAGCTAGTGAGTTACAAGCCTAAACAGCTCTATGATCAAAAAGAAAAAATATTTAAAGAATTGAAAATGGCTTTCTTGAGTGATCACTCATAGGGCCAATCTAAAGTGCTCAGAAAGCTGTACAAGTCTCTTTGGTGGGGAGGGGTAACTAAGGATTGAACCCAGACTCTCACACATGGTAAATACGCAAGCACTCTAACAATGAGGGACACTCCTAGCATGCTCGGGGCTGATTTGACACAGCGTCTCACTCAGTTGCCCAGGCTGGCCTTGAACTTGCAACCCTTGTTCCTCAGCCTCCTGAGCAGTGTGGATTACAGGCATATTACATAGTACTTTAAATATATAACAGATGTCTACAGTGTCACTAACAAGAAAGTAAAAGTCTGAGCATAAAAAACTGCTGGAGGTAAGATTTTTATTGACTTATTATTGTAATTTTTCAGCATACAAATTACTTAATCAAGTATAATATTTACAATTCTTACATAATGTACATTTATAATAGCTATAACAATAATGTATGTACTTTGCTCCATTTACAATGATACACTAGAGTGAATTAGATACAAACTTCTACATACTAATAAAAAGTAAATGGAGTGTTGGTTACACATTCTTTAAAATATACTTTTCACAGGTAGCAAGAAATATTACATGTAATAAGTCTTTATGACTGGAATGATCCAAAAATATCACAAAGCACAAGTAAACACATACAGAAAAGTAGTTCACCATTTCCAAAAGTTAACTTTTAGCCTTATGTAAAATAAATGGTGACAACAATCTTTATAATGTAGCAAGCTTTCCCTGTTTAAGATTAACAACCAAAATAGGGGTTTAGGGGAGAGTGGAAAAAGTAAAATCCAGAAGACCAATGCAGAGAAAGTTGCATTTAATCAAATCTTGCTTGTCCCCAAATTATCCAATATTAAGAGGATAAATTTATCTAAATAGAAAATGATTTCCATAAAGTCTTCATTATACATATCAGGATTCAACAAATCTAAACCCAAGCCTCTTTTACTTCTTTCATTTGAAAATATCAAGAAATCAGTAAGTGCTGAATTAAAATTACCTTTATAAATTTTTTGCTTTCATCGATGCTTGCTGTTATAAAAATGCAAATTTTCCAACAATCTGATGTCTCCAAATCCCAATCTATTCTTTCACACTTTGTATCAAGGCCCTCAGAATATTTGGCATCATTTTTAAGGAACACAAGGAAAGCTGGCAATCATTATCAGATTTTGCTGCTTTACAATGATGTCTAAAACATTTCATTGATACAAGTAAAGTGCTTCTGACTTGCAGTCAGTCAGCCCAGGGATATGGTCAGTTCTGCCACCAACTGGCAAACTGAGGGGACCACCTCTGTAGAACAAGGGGAGCACACCAGGATCAAAAAGCAAAGCTGAAGCTCTTAGCTTGAGATGTCAGAAGACCTACTGTAAGAATCAGGTGAGAACAACTAATGTCAAGTACACTGTAAATAGCAAAACACACAAACAGATATTTTTGTATTTTCACCTTGTTTCATCCACTCATTTCATTTGTGAGACGCCCTGAATCAAAAAGGGCAGTGACTCCTATTCCAGTGCCCTGTCCACTGTATCATACAGTTCTGAAGTCATTCTGGACAATAATTTGTAGAAAAATATATCACTTTTCCAGCTCATGTCAAAAGTGCTATCATACAGAAGATTTAAGTTGACAATGTGTGATCTAGGAATGTTGGTTACTTAAAATGGGTAGTATATTTAGTCTTAAACACAATTCAGTTTATTGTGACCATACTTAACATGCACAAAATTACATTTTAAAAATACTGCTAACATTGCCACAAACTTAAAATTTTCCAGACTGTTTGTAAAAATCTACATTTTTTTTTCCTAAAATGCAGTTATAAAAAACTAAAGGACATGTTACAAATTAAGTCTGTATGTTTGGGAAGGTAAATTTCAACATTCATGAAAATCTACAGTGAAAACCAGTATAAATTAGGCACACTGTAATACAGTTAAGCCCAAGGAAATTTCTGAATTTCTAAGGATTGTGCTAAAAATAGTTTTTTTAAACCACAGAAATCTAACACATGCAAATATCACAATGAAGCATTGCAAATAGCTGCTCAATTACCTTTAGTCTAATTCTAAAACGAAACTGCATTTTATGAATGCTTCATAGTACACTATTCTTTGATATTAATTCAAATTTCAAATTAATGGGCTAAAGATAATGAGCTAACAGAATGATGATAAAGATTCAGAAACTATTATCAGATTGGTTATGGCAAGAAAATAAAGAGTAATCACACAGACTAAGAAGCCCAAGAGTAAGATTAACATGGTTTATACTATAATTCCTCATAATGCACTGAGTAATTCACAGCATAAAAACCTCAGATTTGTTACACACTATACAGAAGATATTGGCTGACGCAGTGAAATTCACCTAAAAGCCAACCTACCTTGTGACTATTAATTTAATTTAAAGCCTCGCAGTTTACTCCATCATTTCTGCCAAATGTAATCCAGATGGGATCTCAAGCACCTTCATGAAATAAAGCCACAGTTATGTAGTTTTATACTGCAGTCTCCCTGCAACATTAAAGACATGGCTTTCTCTGAAGATACTCGATTCAAAACCATGATCACCTGTAGAGCACTTCAAGTATATTTCTGATCTTCAAATATAAACAGACACTGCTGGCACATTAACAACTCATGACTCATGACCAAAGAAGTAAGGGTGTCACAAGGACTCTCCCTCCTAACCACAGAGGTCCCAGAGGTTGTCTCAAGCACCAGGGACCACGTCCAAAAAAAACCTGACCAAGGTCAGGGGCTTCAGGATGACATCTAGCATTAAAACAAGAGCAGACACTGTGTAAAAGAAAAGGGAGGCTTTCTTTTCTGTTTGCCTTTCCTCTCTGTAGTTTTAATACATCTGTCTTCCTTGAGATCTGAAGGGCAATTAATTTCAAAGGACAATAAATCACACTTTTACCTTTAAACAAAGTATCTACAAAACGAGATGATCTGTGACTCTGTGAAAACAGGAAAAATTTAATGTTTCTATTATGCTGTAATTAAAGTATAACGCCTTGGAAGTATTTCCTCTGAAGTAACTTATTACATTTTTATCTTCATCTAATATATGGTGACTCTTACTATATAAGCATTACATGCTTGCAATTTGACCAAATTATGGAACGTTTTCTATGATACAAAATTTATTTCAATGCAATTCCTGCTTAGATTGTGATTTGATGTTTGGCTTATCAGATTCTACTTATTAGGGAGAAAATGTTACAAAAATTTATTATCTAATTAAACATAGTATCTCTTTTAAAAGTTAAAACTTTTCTTTAGAAACAGTACCAATAATATCACCAACATAATTTCCAAAAGAAGATTAAATTCAATTGTTCACAACACTGAAAAGGAACCATATGGCAAATTACTTAATTATTCTATATTCTTGATAAGACATGTCAAAAATGTAATCAGACTAATTTGTAGTATATAAATGGTAAACAAGTATATTCATAGTATCTTGGAACTCAAGGATCTGTGGTTCACATCACTAAATTGTAAAACTATACTAATGATATAATTTAAAAGAATGTAGAATATGTGCAGTACAAAGGATGGATGTAGAGAAAAAGCAAAAGGAATTTACTGATGTATATTTTAATATGAGAAAAACAAGCTTTCTTCTTCATTATGCAAAGAGATTTCCCTTTTGCAATAGGAAAATAGCAATAGGAAAACTGTATTTTAAAAATAACAACTCCAACTATAAAGAAGCTCTATGAAATTTAATAAAACCAACTTTTCTTTTGGAACTTATATTTTGATTAAAGTATAATTTTCCAACATTCAAGTAATCTTTGAAACACAGTTTTATTACACTGATAATTTGTCAAAGTTTTAGGAAATAAACCCAACAATGAAGAACTACAAGTTTTGAACTGGGATCCTCTTGGTGGAAAAAAAAAAAAAGAAAATAAAAAAGAATTAAGAGCTTCTTTTCTTCATAAGATGGAATAAATCTGAAGGACTGAATTAGTCTACTTGTACAGCCACTACAGTCTGGTGAGTGCTGGCCAACAACCTAGTAGCCTATCTCTAAGGAGCAAAATGGTATTTCTGAGCAATGGGGAAAAGCATGTTCTCTAGTTCTAGTAATTAAATCATATAATGTGTACATGATAGCTAGGCTACCAAGTAAAAAATACACCCAAAATTATCGAGGAAGCTAAAGAAAGATGTTCTTGAGACAGGCAGGATAACTGGCTCCCACATGACAGACGTTTTTCAATGATCCTAGCCATGACGTACAGAAAAAAAAAAACATATCCATGTTATCATCTGTTGGCAAGAAAAGACGTTTTTTCTCTAACCTCTTAGCATCTTAAAAACTAGAGGTGGCCCTAATCTAGATTCAACTTTTAGTTAGTTAAAAAAAATAACCCTTTAAACAGGCTTTTCTTTTTTCCTTTCCATAAAAGAGGTATTAAAGTAGATTCTTCTTCTAACTATGAGAGGTCTATGTTTCAACTTATAAAAATATCAATGATTGGGTACTTTTCCCAAAAACCATTCAATAACTACCAAAATTAAGTAAGTAGAATTATAACAGTAAAAGTTGTGAGTTTTCAGCTGCACACATTAGGAAGTCACCAGATTTCACATATTCCCCCTTCTTAAAGAACTCAGAATTTTTGTGAATCTTGCTGGAAACGATTTAGTTTCTCTGGATTATTCGATGCCATTTGTGAAAAATCACGGAAAATGTCCTGATAAGTTTCATCACCTGAATGGAAGTAAAATAAGAACACTTTACAAATTTATACAAGTAAAACATTAATAAAACAACATTCATTCTTATTACCAGCAACTATTTTCTATGTCATTACATCAGTGTATTCAACTGAGCATTTTTAGAAGAAAAAAAGACCAACTAAATATAAATTGCAGAAAAGGATATAATGAAAGAAAAAAAACTATACCTGAAAAAAGCACCTCAGATGCAGCCACAGAGGAAAGTTCAAAGTTAGAAAAGAGCAAGGATGCAGGTATTTTAAAGCAAGGTAAGAAATACATTTATTAACACATGAGAAATTAAAGTCATTCTAAATGAGGCATAGTAAACAAGACATTGTTTAAAAAAGTATTTCCTTTGCTACAGGCCAAAAGAAATTACCAAAACCAAATACAAGTGTTCTTCATGGATGTAAGTTATTCACAAGACAAACTGATAATCAGTTAAGAAAATAGCTTTCTTTTATCGGATTATCTTTTAATTAAAAGAAATTTAAATTAAAATAGCATGTGAAAAGTAATTTCTTGCTCAAATGTTAATGCTTGAAATACATCTAATTCACTGATTACTACACTTAATGCTAGAAAATGACTATAAAATCATAGTCTTACTTTGTCAGAAGCTGTTTTGTATACTGTAGGTCATATGAGCAAAAATGCTATAACAAAATGGGAGTTAATACCAAAGCCACCTGTTAAATTACAGAAATAAATATATGTGTATATATATAATATTCTTGTGACAATGTAAATTATAGATATTAACATTACAGAAGATTAAATACTATTTTTCTTGTTATAGAAACTTATATACACACATACAAATTAATCCCTCAGACAAAGAAATATTATTTTCAAAATGAATAATTCATCACTTTTTCTTCCTGCTAAATATTAGTTTTACAGATTTTAAGAAATCAAGCTACAGGCTGGGTGTGGTGGTGCATGCTTACAGTCCCAGCATTCAGGAGGCTGAGGCAGGAAGATCTAGTTCAAGGCCAGCCTGGACTACATAGTGAATTCAAGACCAGCCTGAACTATATAAAGCCTTGTCTAAAAAAAAGAAGAAGAAGAAGAAGAAGAAATAAAAAAAAGAAAGAAATCAACTCAACAATGAAGGATTTGTACAGACACTTGGCATAATTCTGTCCTGAAGATATTGAGCATACATACTCTTTTAGATGATTACTGTTGCAACCTGGTTTTGTAATTACTTCCCATAAGATACCTTGCATCCATTCTATAACAAACTCTTTGCTACAAGTGTTGTTAAGCAGTAAGTTTTGTTAGTTATAAAGAGGAAAATGTTTAAGCAACAGTGTCATACCAAAAGCTACAGAATTAGAAAAATGTAGGGGAAGAACAACAAAGATCTAGTAAAAAGGTCTAACAGCCTAACCCAGGATTTTTAATAAAAAGATTTTAATACTTTCAATATGCAGCTCCCTTTAATATTTACTCTATGTAAAAAGCAATTTATTAAAATCAAATACAGTTTTCATTTAGCCCTGGAAACTTAATTATGACCTGAAACAATCAGTTAAGCCTAATCAATCTACTATAAACAGAAAAAAAAAATTCAGATTTACTAAAACAAAGCAAAAAGCTGATATACTGGAACAACTGCTAAGACAATCCAAGCATACTCATGATTTTTTAAAAGTTCATTTCCACACTGAAAGATAAACTACAATCTATTCCCATTTAGCCACTCTAAAAGATATAAAGTAACTTAAGAGAACAACAATAGCAATTAACAAACCATACAAAATATTTTAAATTTTTCTTAGTTTTACATTTTGAATTAAAATATGTAAAATATTTATTTTAAACATTATAAAGATTTTTAAAATACTATTTAAACTAGATAGTCTAGAATTTACTCCCAAGAAAGTGTAAAGTGCAATTATAATACAAAAATACCACACTGATATTACCATTCAACACCAGAAGAAACTTAAAAGGCACACATTATACATTCAAGAAGAAATAGGAAGAAGGACCTAGCAGATGCTAATGCCGGAGAGTTTACAGATAGCACCAGGTGGGCACTCTTGAGTATCACAATAGTACAATGGCAATATATGGCTTCTACAGTGCAATGCATATTTGTATAACAAGCTGTGTGTTTCTAGTTTTTGTTTTTAAATCACCTAGTACCTATTACGCGAGTATGTTTTAATAGGACCATTGTACCATGCAAAACAAATTAAAAGACCTTTCATTCACTGAATTAAATGCTTCCTTAAAGGAACATGTTGGTGCTGAATAGTCATTGGTTTCACTGAACACGTTTCAAAAGAGTCAACACAATACAAGAGAAGTTTCCATCTTCAAACACAAAAACTTTCTAACATTCAGCTTCTAACAAAACATTAATAATGCACTATTAACATACTACCTTTCTTAGACCTCAAAATGTGTTGTCAAAAAGCAAATATTTCAAGAATAGTGACTAAGATATTTAATATAGCTACCACACATTGAATCTCAATGTGATTATTGAAAATTTAAATATAATTTTAATCATTTAGAACTTTTCCCAAACAAATATGTGTCTACACGAGGACACATACATAAAACCCCGAATATGCTGTCCTAGAATGCTCCCAGAAGTACATTTAATGGTTTATTACAAATGACAAAAAACCGAACCCCTGATTCCTACAATGCTAAGCATATTCTTTAAATTACTTAACCACATTCTCAGAAAGTAAGCTTTTCTGTGTGCTTGGACAGTTCTCAGGTTTTAAAACATAAATTGCTTTGTTTCCATTGATAATTTAAATTCAAGTTTTGGTATTTAGAATATCCATCATAACAGCAGTTACAATGATTCAATAGTTTACTGACTTTCCTCTTGAAAGGAACTCTCTCAAATTGATGAGAGGGTGTGAGACCCACCCCAAAGTGATCATATGCATGATCCTGCCCTTGTAGGCTGGTGACAGTTCCCTTCCACAACTGTTGGGGATGAGATCAGTGATCCCCAAATGTTTCCCACTCATATAACCAGTAGTAACTCGTGCCCAGGCCAGTGATGCTCATTTGGCTAAGAACTTGCCAGCCACCAAGAGAGTCACAGAGCCAGAAACAGGAACCACAAACCAATTTCCAACAGCTGAGAGTGAGGAGTGCTATTTCTCTCACCCACTCAGGCCCGCTAAGAGTTCTGGGGGCTGCTCAGGACAAACACATCCTCCCTTCAGAAACTGTATCTTTAACGCTACCTTTCAAATATGGAACGCCTCAAGTTCTTGGGATTGTGGACAGGAGGTTCAGAAATTGGTTTACTAGAAGAAATAGGTTCATGATTGTCGAACATTGTATCTGAATCTGAAATGGCAGACCTCCTCCTCACCAAAAGACTGAAAATTCCCCCAAGTATAAACCACCCAGAGTTCTGCAATTGTCTATTACTAGGACAAATTAGAAAGTGTGGGGGCAGGGTTCCCAATAAAAGAATCAACCACACTCTCTGAAAGCAAAGTGTATAGTGATACAGTGAGCAGGGGGAAACAGCTACTGCCAAATGCAGCTGCTCAGCAAAGACTCCCGAAGGGAAGGAAGGTGGAGGGCAGCTATGTACCGCTGCTCCACGCCACTGTGTCTGCATAAAAGTATCACTTCAAATAACAGGATCCATAAATGACTAAACAAATTATTTTCAAGATAATCCTAAAATACATTTTTAAAATCTCATTTTATTCTGGTACATTCTTCCCAGAATCCTCATCTATTTTTTAACCTCTAAACTAAAATTTGAGAATGGCAAAAAGTTTGTTTCAAAATAAGACCTTTTTTTCAAATTTCCACTAAAATTAATCGGAAAAATCGGTATTTGTTAATTAATGAAAGTTTATATACTTATATATAAACCTGTACATAAGAGACAGCTGAGTACTCTGAACAATGGCAGAAGAAAGCCAAGCGATTTGGGTAGAACTACAAGTGGCAAGAACATCATCAAGGTTCTGTCCTTTCAAGCCTCCAACTCCAGAGAACAGTCGTTGCTGACCTTGTGGCTAATCAGGTGGCTGAACTTCATCACAAACACCTGAAGGAAACAGCAGCTGACCAAACATTTACAATTTCAGGGAAAAATTGTTTTAACTTAAATTCCTGAAGTTCACTGTTCTCACAAGTGTCAGATCACATCCTTTGATTGATTTTTATTTTTAAAGTGCTTAAACATAAAGGCCTCAAAAATGGCCTAGTAATACTACCACGTAAGTCTATCTATTACAAAATTATAACTTGCCTAAAATCTAACATTCAAGTTTAAAACACATGGGTGAAATCCAGAGTTAACACTAGAGCTTCACCCGTCGTCAGCACTTGGACATCTTGGAAGATCGTGAGTCCGTGGTACATAAGATCCATAGGATTAAAGTGGGACGCCCGGACTAGAAGCTCAGCGCCTCTATTCCCAAAGTCCTTACTTGTTCCCTATCAGGGCAAAATAAGTAGTAATACAGTCCTCTGAGGAAAAAATTGCCCCCATAGTGACAGTTAACTACTGAGTTAAAATAAATGGTTGAAGCTACCACAAAGTACAGAAATTTTACGACATAAATAAAAAGAAGAGATGATATTACCACGTCACCTTAAAAATAATATTAACAATATTCATTTTTAAAAATCCAATATACTCATTGCCAACTGAACAATCTAAAGTATCTTAGTTAAGAATACCTGAAATATTTACTAACAGGTATATGAGTTTAAAAACAGGTAGATTAGTAATTCACATACTCAAAATCAGGACACTAGAGACCCCATAGCTACGCTCTCCTCCATGAAGAATATCTAATCAGCTTGTGTTCCTCAGAGAGGGACCTGGTCAGCAACGCTTCTTCTCCAAACAACTTGACTCAGAGGTAAACATGAGTCACAATGAAACTTGAGGTGATCATCGAGTTGAGATTCTCTAATGAAGTAAGTGTGCTTTGCCATCAGAATCACAAAAGTTTGTCCCGAATACTTCCACTTAGCAAAACAACAGATACTACATAAATGCTGGGGCAAAGCTAAAGACAAAACAAGACCTTTTCCTTCAACCTTTTAAATTAACTCTACTCCCATTTGAACTTTTAAGCCTACCGGTAAATTTATAATTTAGTTCTTCAGTTCATCTCTAGATTGGAATACAAAACTCATCAATAAGATTCTTCTTAATATTTTTCATACTGACTTTTTATATGCCAAACATAGTGATTGTTTTGTTTAGGTTTTTTTCTTCCCTGAACACATTTCTAGAAATTCCCTGAATAACAAAAAAGTAATTTTGTTATATTTGATAACTAAAAAGAATTCCAAAAAGAAAACAACTGCTTTGCTGCTGTAAATATAGAAAGAATACTTTCACCATTCCACTCACTTCACTGGAATGTATATGGAAGACATCTATACAGGAGAGAAGGAAGTCAGCAGCCAGAGTGAAGTACAGCAAGTAAGTGTGTGCTGGAATAGAACAGTTCAGGATTTTTAAAGGCCCAGGAGTAGCCACCCAAGAGTTCGGAAAGTACAGTACATAGCTAACAAGTCACAATTTACAAGTAGGTTATAAAAACTATATAGACTCATGTTAGTTGGCCAAAGAACTATGCATCTTCCAACTGTAAACTGATAAATTCCTGAATACATTTCTTATACTGCATTTCAGTATGGTTATTAGTGGAATATTGACCTGGCTGTCCATAAAGTCCTTCTGATTCCCGCATTTCTTCATTCATTCTTGCTAAACGTAATCTAAAATTAAATAAAAGAATTTTCAGATCAAGTTATGTAACATAAATGTCCATAAATAATTATATAAGCAGACAATACATGTACTAATGCAACTTATTCCCTTTACCAATATTTGCCACTAAAATTTGACTTTTTGGGTTTATCAGACCTAGAAATGTAAAATACGAAAGCCAGTCCATCTTCATATGATTCTTATGACAAAAAAACAGCAAGTGCATGTCAGCTCAATTTGGGCAGCATTCCAGCAATACCCCCAGGAGCTTGTGTCCTTCAGACTACAGAGAATTCCTGGTTCCTACAGAAAATGGTCAAATTTTAATTGCTAGTACTGAACTACTGCTCCTACAGAATAGAGCTATAGCGCATCCTTAGCTCGCTCTGGCTCATTCCAAGTGAAAGAGTTCCCCATGTGTACGTAGCTGCACTGCCTCGAAACCCTGTAAATAGGCTTTGATAAATAACTATTGGTTACCAAGATTTTCCACAAGTTACTACTATTCTTTTTTATGGGTTTATTCTGGCAACAAAAGACAAATATTTCCTTCCTTTTGACTTAATTTTAGGATCATTTAAAAATAGGCATACATTCCCTTTGGTACCCCTCTCGTACTCTGCACTGCTCACTGTCCTTCTAGACTACAAAATACCCGCTGCCTTCCCAGCCTGTCGTACGTTTCTGGGGTCCTGTCTGCACTGCTGCGCCCGACATGGACTTTTCCTGTCTTCAGATTTCTATGACTCCCTCATCTTCTCTCTCAACCACTATCTCAGCTATTAAAAATAACTTCGTAAGTGTCTGTGTGTGGATTTTTAGAAGGACACATTTACAAAAATTCTTAAGTAAAACTGATAAATTCAAATAAAATAAATGAAAATCTTTAGATGGCTTGGAAACAGATGTGAGGTGTGTTAACAATACAAGCTGCCTGGGAAGCTACATTCAGAGTTAGTTCTTCCACACAGTCCAGTTTTTTAAAATCACTATTTCAGGTGATACTATGTTTAACTATAATAAGCCAGTGTTGTGGACAAATCTATTGAAAATAACAAGAGAAAACATAGTAGCTACGGAAGATCATTTATATTGTAGTCTTATATGTCTTATCCATTGCATGTTTTTCTAGGAAATTGTTTTGCTGTCTTGCTATGACTTGGTTTTCCCTATAATACAGAGAGGATAGATATATATGTAGAAATTCACACATGGGTTTTTTTTTTAAATTATTTACGGGAACAGATTATATAATGCAAGATGTAAGGAACAGATACTCTGAGGAAGAGACGCTGAGAAACCCGAGGCTTATTTTGTAGCATTATAATATAAATTCTAGCAATCTATTGTTCGCTGATTAGAATGACATTGGACTGGTTTCTTGAGTTCAACTTCAGCATATGTAGAGATGGGGACGGCTATCACAAAGAGAATGAGAGATGCGATGGTAGTTACTATTGTCTTTCCTAATTTGGAATTTGAGGACCTAAAAAGCCTTCATCATCCTGTAATGATTTGATTAGTTCTATAATATGCAATAAGTATATAAAGTGGGTGAAGATAGGGACAACTATTTGTAAGAAACTAGAGACAGTTAGATAATGAAGATCTCCAGTGGACTTGCTTTGAAATCTGTATTTCTTTAAATTGTTTTTTTTTTAAAATGTTCTGTTCTGTTTTGATATGTTTAATCTTACCTTCTTTGAGATGTAAAACAAATGTGTAGGACTGATAATCATATTACTGAGCTTATGTTCGGTCATAGAGCAGAATGGTTTGTAGGGTCACTTTTTGAATGTCATTGTAAATACTTTAATTCTATAACCTGAACAGCTATTTCTAAGATGACAATGTGTAACTTATCAACCAGCAATTTCTTACCGTTTGTCTGTAATTTTGTATTATTTCTACCCTTTTTTTATCTCCATGTATTTTTTTGTTTCCTTTTCTTTAAATTAAAAAAAAATTAAAAAAATAAATAAATAAAATCACTATTTCCCTCCTATTCTAAATCTATAATGTTTTGGTACTTCCAGATTTTCCTTAGTAGTCTGTGCGATGATAGTAACTCTTTCAGTAAGAAAAGTGTGCTTTGCTGTGTTTCATTTGGCTCAGCAGGATTGGTACACAGCATCAAGAATCTTCTTCAGCTGGGGCTGGGGATTTAGCTCAGCGGCATAAGCGCCTGCCTTGCAAGCAGGCAGTCGTGAGTTTGATCTCTGGTACCGATAAAAAGGAAAAAGACAAAAACAAACAAGAAAAAGAATCTTCTTCACTGAGAGCTCAAGAGTTCAAGGGAGTCACTGAGAGTTAGCACTGTAAATGAGGTTGCTTCTCTAGTCAAATGGAGAGCAGATCACTGATGCTGGGTTTCACATAACCAAGGATAGAATGAGGAAGTGCTGTATAAAATAATTCTGCTATCTATGAAATACAGGTAATCATCACATTTCCTGATGCTAAGTGTAACAAACTACTTTGCTCAAGTTTGCAAATCAAGAGTCTTCTTCCCAGATACCGTTTTTTGGCTGAAGAAAGGTGTTGCAAATTTGAGGCCAGCCTAAACAACTTAACAAGATCCTGTCTAAAACTGGAACCCAAAAAGGGTTAGGGTCTCTGTAGCTCAGCGGTAGAGTGCTCACCCAGCATGTGCAGACCCCTGAGTTCAAACAGTACCATCACAATAGAGAAATAAATGTCTCTTTAATAGCTCAAGTTAGCTTTTATTCAAACATTCAAATCCAGGTATTTATCTTAATCAAATGTTCACGTGAAAACCCATTTTTCAAAAGATTTCTATACTGTTCAAAGCCGATGCAACTTTAAGAAAGTTAACGTCAGTGCAGCTCTCTTCCCTACTTAAGATTCCTCTAACTCTTGAGGCAGTGCATCAAGTGCCTGCTACTCTACTGGTGCTTGCACTATACTCTGAGTACAGTTTTACGCTTTAGAGAAGTCACTGGTTTTGCTTGCACTGTCAGTCAATATAGCAGAAACAGCTAAGAACACGGACTTCAGGGTCAACTCTCGATTTCAAGTCCCAACTCTACCACTTAGTAATTGTCAAACTGTCTGTGGTTTGGCTTCCTTATCTATAAAACGAAGACAGTAAGAAATAATACTTCCTCACAGGGTTGTTATAAGAACCAAGACCAGGCACCAGAAGTGCTTACCACAGTTAATGTACTTAGGGAAGCACAAGCACACAGTAATTATCAACCAAGTTTTAAAGTTCCCACCTGAGCCAATTAATGCCCTGTACGAGTAATACGGGAACAACGAAGTAGAAAGCAAGTACTTACAAGGTTACAATGTCAGCATTAGCTGCTTCTACAGCTATGCTCAAAGGGTCCTTCCCTTCTTCATCAGTGGCATGTTGATTGGCACCTCGCTTTAGGAATAAACATACCTGCCTGTTTAAGGAAACCACATTTTTGAGATATTTCCAGTAAGAAAAAAATTAATATTTGCCTTTAAAAAATGAAAAGCCTGTCCTACTTTAAATAATATTTTGTTAGAAAATTCTTAATTCATTCTGAAAATGAACAGCAATTCAAATAATAAAAGTTTATGAAGATCAATATTTTATGAGACTCAAAGTATTTTCACTTAGACTATTTTTTGTAATCTGGGCTGCATAGCATAGTGAGATATATAAATTACAGTCCCTACCCTCAAAGAATATCATGATGTGATATACTCCGATATTAGAAAAATGAAAAGAAAGATTACTCAAGGCCATAAAATAAAATAGGAAAGATTACGATAGATCAAGAGAATAAAAAGACTACGTTAAAATCCTTACCATTTTTAAGTATACAAAAAGTTTTGTGAAGTTACTGAAAAGAATCTTTGTTGATAGAAAACAAGTTATAATAATAATGATGATGATGATGATGATATGTTAGACAGGCGTGGTGGCATACATGTGTGATCCAGCACTCTGGAAGGCCGAAGTGGGAAGATCACAAATTTAAGCCTAGTTTGGGCAATTTCTGAGTGAGAGAGACCCATTTCAAAATAAAAGTCAGTAAGTAATTAAAAGGGTAGAGAATGAATCACAATGTGAAGGCCCTCAGCTCAGTCCCCAGCACCACAAAAAAAACAAAGAAGAAAAAAAAAGTTAGTTAAAAGAAAGAATACCTTCTTGCTTACCCAGAAAATAATAATTGGAAACCTTGAAATGTTTCATTTTAAAAATAATTATGGGGCCTGGGAGTTTAGCTCAGTGGTACAGCATCTGCCTGACAAGTGTGAGGTTCTGAGTTCAATTCCTGGTATTCCACACCCTCAAAAAGATATAAACCAAAAATAAAGTAAAAACAATTATGCATTATCAGGATATGGTGACCTACACTGTAGTCCCAGCACTGTGGGAGGCTGAGGCAGAAGGATCTCAAGTTCAAGCCCAGCCTGAACAACTCAGTAACTTAGCAGGACTCTGTTTCACAATAAAAAAAAATGTAAAGGACTGGGGGAGTAGCGCCGTACACAGGCCCTGAGGCAGTCTTCTGGCTACACTGTACAAACATTCATAATCTGAAGAAATTAGCCAAAAACATTTTAATATGAAAGAATGAGTGGAGCATATAAAGGAGGAATTATAATAGTCCAATATCTAGTACCACAAATAGATTAACAATGAACTTTTAAAAATAAAAGAACAATAGGCATTCTGACAAACTTTTTGTGTAACACCAGTAGTCCTACTTCATTTACTTTTTCTAACAGAAAATCCATTTTCATAGCTTTATTGTTCTGTAAGTCTTAATATTGCTCAAGTTATCACAATGTCAACTGCCTAAACTAAGCATTCAGTTTGTAATTTGACCAGCTACATTAAAAATTCAAGGCATACCCACATACTTAGTTGTCTGATGAAGTCACCATGATTTCAGTAAAAGACAAGGTACTAAAACTAAAACACTGAATAAATCATGGTCAAAGTAAGCTCGAAAATTTTCATACCTAAAAACCATGTAGTTTTTCTAAATTAGTTTTTAATCATCAGATTGTCATGACACTAAGTCACAGGGTAGAGAATACCTCTCTTTATAAACTATCTCATAACCTCAACCTGAGGAGGTAAAACATTACTTCAAAATGATTTTTCAAATAAAATCTATCTAAACATCGTAATTACCCTGTGTGTCCCAAGACGGTGGCATGGTGCAGAGGTCCCCGCCCTTGGACATCTCTTTGGTTTACATTAGCACCATTCTGTAGGAGGAACTCACATGTCACCAAAGAGCCCTTTAAAGGAGAAAAGAGAGTGCCAAAGTATAAATGCAAACAACAAGACACAGCCATATATTTCTATTTAAAAACAATATTTTAATTTACTCCAATAGTATTTCCATTTCATTTTCCCTCTTAAACTATCCCTGGAAAAGCAGAAAACTATTGTATTAAGTTTCTCCCCAAGAACCATTCCTAATAGAGATACATTTTCAGTTTATGACCCAGCAAAACACACTATTACTTTCATTATCAGAATTCTCTTCCATTACCAAAACAAACAAAATCAAAGAAACAAAGAAACCAAGAGGCTGGAGCAGTCAAAGGGGCCTCAGGGTCACCTTTGCAAGGTACAGAAACATCATTTTCCAGCCCATCTCTTAACGCAAAGCAATCAATAAAAATACCAAAGCCATGCTCAGAGCTTATGATGATGACTTAGATCCCCCTCAGCGAAAACCCCAGTATGTGCATTCATACCCCCAACACAGCCTGAATGAGTGGTGTTGCTTTGTTTTCCTCTGAATTAGCCCAGTTCACGTCTGCACCATGAGCCAAAGCCTCAGCCATTTTCGGAAGATTTTTCTCATAGGAAGCTCTATAAAGCTGAAGTCCTGGATTAAGATGTTTAGAGTCGAGAAACACAGAAGAATCTTGTCTTTCGCCTTCTGAACAGCAAACACAAATACATTAACGAAAACAAGTTAATAGAGTTTAAGTTTTGCAAGATGAAAAGAATTCTGTGGATGAATGATGGCAAAACAAAATGACTACAGCCTTTTTTTTTCTTTTTTGTTTTTTATCGGTACCGGGGATCGAACTCACGACTGCACACTTGCAAGGAAGGCGCTTATGCCGCTGAGCTAAATCCCCAGCCCCATGACTACAGCCTTAATGTCACTAAACTGTACATTTAAAAATGATTACAATGGTAAATTTTGGGTTATGTATATTTTATCACAATTTTTAAAAAAAGGAACTGAAACTTCAGACTGTGAAAATTGTGACATAAGAAATCATTAATCTATCGTAATAAGCTTATGGGAGATTTACACACAGATATCTTATTTCCTATGATCACTCCCCAAACACTCAACCTCTCTTATGAAGACATCAACCAGTATGCTACATCTCTTGTGGTCTTGCCTGTGTTCAATGGCTAGAACAGTTACTCCATTAAAACTAGCTGCATTCCTACCAGGCTGGACTAAACAGGCAGCCAGAATCCTGAATAATTTTACTACTACATCAAACCACTCTTCAGTCTAAGGATGATCCAATGCCACTACAATTTGGGCTAAAACTAGTTCAAATAATTTGAAGAACATTTACTTTCCTGAAAATTCGGAAAGACCAAAATCATTGAAACTACCCACAGAGAGCGAATATAAGACTAAAGCACTGGTGAAAAGAAATCAAAAGGCAGGTGCTGATCTCTCACTGGTAAGACAGCACAAGGAAAGGAACAGAATGATAACACATAAAATGCACATGGATTAAAAAACTAACCTTAGTTATTGCAAGACATTTAAAGTACAATAAAGCTTAGAAGAATGTGCAACTAAGAGAAAACATCTACATTTGAGCAGAAATACTGGGGTTTTTCCATTTCACAGTATTATTCATCCCTTAGAACCTTCTAAAAGACTGGCCACTTCCTTTAGAAATTACTTAATCAACACCAGGTATTTACCAAGTGGATTGTTTAGCAAACTGTACCAATTACCAGCGAACTTCTTCAACTCACCAGGCTCATACAAACTACTGGCTGATACCGTGGATGGTAAAGATTCTCTTCCATCATCGGAGCACTGCTGGATCCCACTGTCATTACTTTTGACTATTTAAAAGAAAAATTAGCTAGTGATTAAAGTTCACACTATTTACAAACACAATCTTGAACAACCAACAAGGTCTTAAAATGAGCTGTTATATGTCAACATGAACTCAGCCCTCACCAGTAGACTATATTTAATATAATTTTAATCTCTCTGAACGCTTAGCTTATTGTGATATAAATCAATCACAAAGCCTGAAAATAAACTTATTTTCAGCATTGTAACAGATCTCATTATCCCATAAAATGTGAGAGGTGTCAAAGCTTATCATATGACTGTAAATAATGTGTAATTCTGAGACAATGGGTAACATCTAGAGAAATGGCCACACCGCACAATGACCACTGGCACAGACTTGGAATGCTCCACAAGAGTAGTACTTACTACTACGCAGTTTTGAAGAAGTATCAAAGTAGGAGAAGAGTGAGTCTAGCTCATCAGGACAGAACAGAGACTCCCGCCTGGCCTCGTCGCTATTTACAGCAACCACTGGGGTCATGCAAGTTAGCAAAGCACAAAGCAGGCCATAAGAAGGGAAAAGGGCAGGAAAAAACGTTACTGGGAAAAATTTAGGAGGAACAGATAGGAAGGAAATCAGGTAGTTAATCAGATACTTAGGGCTTTTGGCATGATAGATTAATAATCCCCATCTCCCCTTCCATTGGAAGCCATTTTATGTGCATTACCATGGTACTATCTAAAGGCAACTAACTGTTTTAAAGACAAACAAATCGTTTCTCCTTAGAACATGTTGAAGAAATCAGGTTTGTAGCATTTAAAAAAAAAATCTACAATGGCTATTAATTTGGAGATTAGGGGAATGATTTCAGCTTAAGAAAATATTTACATTCAGAACAAGAAAGGTACAATACCTGAACTTGGAACAGATGCTCTGACTGGGTCGCCTGGCCCAAGTTTAGAAATGCTCAGCCTCTTTTCCTCGCAGCCTCTGGAGACAATCTTTTTTTCCTGCTCAGGAGGTGATGATGATATAGAATATTTATCCACAAATTTTCTCTCCACATATTTTGCTTTGATATATGCCTCTTTCTCCTGTCTGGTACACATAAAAATGTCATGATGCTCTGCATATGATTGGCATGGCTAATACTCAAAAGATGCCATGATACACTGAATATTTTCAAGCAGACGGATGGGATGTAACACACTTTAGACAGAACCTTTGGCAAAAGACAATACTTTTCTACAAATATTTACTGAACTGACCTCACAGTCAAATGAAATGCAAATAAATCCTAACTGAAAAAAAATCACAAGGATTGAGGTGGCACTTTTATTCTCTTAGTTTCTGCATGCATTCATTTCTATACATATTCCCTCAAGCTTTTTTACAGAATGAAAAATATTACCAGGAGAACAATAAAAACACATAGAAATGAATTTTAATTTCATTTATACTCAAAGAAATAGTGTCACATACTACTTCATAAGGTAATTACCATAGAACAATATAGCATTCCTAATTTATAGGGGAGAAAAAGAAGTCACATTTTAAACTTTTGATTTATGATACAACTATCAAATACCAAACCTGTGTTATAGTTTTTCTTAAGGAAAGCCTTTTAAACTGCTTAGGTCTTCAGATGAAGGAGAAGGGTATCTCCAGGTCTTAAATATCTCAGTCATGCTTTAACAAGCCCAAGATTCTGATTTAAATAATGCTGGCTTAGAAAAAATTCTAACATAGGCTATGGCAAATGAAATTTTAATACTAAAAATAAAGAATCATGATGCGTAAAAACACAAGGGCCTACAAAAAGTGCGTGTCCCTGAGGCACTGACTTGGGGCCACTTTACTCAATAAACCTCGACCCCTATAACTGGAATTATAATGTTAGACACAGCAATCAAAGCCTCTCCTCCACTACAGTGGCCTTTCACCTTTAATTCCTCAGTATCATGAATCATGCATAAAGTATGTGATCAACAAATATTTGCTGAACTAAGTCAAACAATGTAAAATTATTCACTACAAACAGAAACTTGATCCTTAGAGACCTTTTTTTTTTGTCTGTATCTTTTGAATGCCTGCCACCAACAGAAATTTGATCTACTTTAATAGGTAGGAGCATTCACACTTATTTCTAGGTAGAGATTTACTTTTTAAGACATCTTCTCATCTGAAAACTATGACATGCTACAAATATAATTGTCTAATGAATATCCACAAGACAGAGAAGCTATATGTGAACAGAGGCAGAAATGATGACATCTAAGCCCTGTCTCAGTGTTACAAGTAGTTACGGTAAAGTAAAAGCATTGCTGTGTTCCTGATGGGAAAAGAAATAAGACAGCACATCAGTACAAATGAAATGTACCTTTGTCCTGGTTGTGGTTTCTTTATTCCCATTTTTTCTACTTTAGCTTCATAAACACGATTTATAACATCATTCCCCAACTCACACATAAGCTGTTTGGCAGGAAAACAGAAAAGCAAGCTGTCAATTAAAAGTCCTTAAGGTAAATTGAAATATAAAAATTCTTAAATCACCCTCTCATTCTACAAAGAAGTTTAAAGTTAATTTTGCCATTCTTCATCAGAATACCTTCCCTAGGACACTATCACTCCTATACCAGAATCTAAGTACATAAATACAGATACAAGAAAAGGCATCTCTCTGTCCACATTATACCTACATGCACACACACGTTAGAACAAGAGTGACGGTAAATCACAACCTATGTGTTAAGTATAGTTATCATTGGTCAGTCTCAGAAAGTAAGTAAATATCTATTTTTTCACTTACTCAGAAAGTAAGTAAATATTTGTTCTCCTCACTTCTAGCTGCTAGAACTAAGACCAACCTGGATAATCTAATAAGGGTTAAGATAATGTAATAAGATCCCAATTCATTGCCTGGTGAGTGCAAGGTCGTGAGTTCGATCCCTGGTACCAAAAAAAAAAAAAAAAACCTCGATCCCTGGTAGCCCCTACCCTTGGGGGAAAAAAAAAAAAAAAAAACAGAAAAAAGAATTCAGAAAAACAAAAAAGACCCAGAGATATATTTTATGCAGTCCAAAAAATAAATCCACACTACACCCTGATTAAAATTTACAAAATACTCTTACAAAAATGAGGTAGTTTCACCCCAAAACCCATATTTTATTAGGAAAAATAAACTAGGGGAATTATAATTTATTTTCCAAAATGTTTGTTACTCATCTACTATACTCAATCACTATCTGTAAACATTTCAAAATAGTATAGAAGGATGAAATAAAAGTCTAAAAGACTAGCAGAATACTGACAAGAATCAATTTTGAAGATGATAGTTACTGTTTGGATTTCTTTCCCCTTATTTGTGCTTATTATTTTAGAACTCATCTGTGATACATGTTGCTTTAATTTAAAAATAATTAAGGGGCTTATGAATCTTATCCTAATTGCACCCTTATTCCTTTTCCTGAACATACTTGCCTAAAGAAAAAGATTTCCCTATCTCCTCCCCCTGGGGCTGGGGATTTAGCTCAGCAGCAAAAGCGCCTGCCTTGCAAGCCTGTGGTTATGAGTTCCATCCCTGGTACCGATTAAAAAAAAAAAAAGAAAGAAAGAAAGAAGGAAAGAAATCCTATCTCCTCCCCTATAGTTCTAGAATAAAGAAATGTCAACACCAATCTAATCTCCGTACTGTACCTCTCTCATGCCTCCAATAACACCACCTGGTCTCCATTTCTTCCCAAGGAACTCTCTGAATATTCTGCAGTATTTACTGCCCTATGTACGGCCTTTTAAGTATAAACTTGATTTACTTTGAGGCTGTCTAACTGGTCTCATCTACTCCTAGGATAATTTTACTTTCCTGTCAAAAAAGGCCTGACTCAAAACTAGTTCCTTTAGGGGCTGGGGATTTAGCTCAGTGGCATAAATACCTGCCTTGTAAGCAGGCGGTCGTGAGTTCGATAAAAATGAAAAAGACAAAAAACAAAAACAAAAACAAAAAAAAACTAGTTCCTTTCTTCTAAGTATCCTCTATGGTAGTGAACCAATGGCACACATGTTATTGTGTATTTCTTTTAAGACAAAAGATGTTAATGTATGAGTGGTTTGTTTTTGTTTTTCTAAACTAAAAACTCAACATTCAGGTTTGACTGCAGCAGGGGCACCCTGCAATAACGAAGTAGGTTTCGGGTTGCAGTTGGAGCACTTGTTCTCTAAAATGTTCACCATCTCTGTTCTATAATATTAATAGCTTTGTTTAAATCTGAACAATCATATAAAATGCTTGTACGTATCATCTAACATCTTTATTTGTATCTGCATTCTCTCACATACAAGCGTGACCTTCAGCTTTTTCACATTATGAAACCGGTGTCTTAGCTTTCCCTCCCTTCACGATGGCTAGCACAACACCGTACGCTACTCTCGCTGTGTGGTGAATTAACTGGAAGCAGCAGCTCTTGATCAGACATGTAAAGCTTTAAACAACTCAAAAGTGAAGTAAACTATTTCCTTCTTATAATTTGAATACAATTTCTTAAGAAATACTTTGTTTAGAAGTGTCAGTAGTGTTTTTAAGGCCAGCTAAATGTCTCGTATAATCTTCTAAACGAAAGCCACTGAATTATTGACTGCACACAAAGCTTATTGATGCACTTCAGCCCCCACCTTGTCCTTTGATTCCGTAACAACCGGTGGAAGATACGGAAATAAGGCTCTACCTCAAAAGTCAGCTTAACACAGTAATTCCACAAAGTGATCTTTTTAACTTTACATAACTGAGAGATTTACCAGTTTATCTACAAATTGAAATAATAAATACAAAACACATTTAAAATTTTCATACAGAAATAAATGGAGCTATATTTATATTCATTTCATTTCTAAAATTAATCTATTTTCTACTGCTAGTTCTATAGATTTTTAACAAAACCCTAGTCGTAGTCTAAAATTATTTATGACATTTTATATATGTATGAATTCTTAGACATGGAAAAAGGATGATAAATGTAAATAACCCATTATAGAGTTTACTATAGCAACAAATTCATTATATTTTAATGAGAATCTAATTACAAAAGATTATGGCACAGAATCTAAAATTTTTTGAAAAGCCATGAAAATACAGAAACACTGGTTTTCTTAAAAAGTGAACTGACTTAAGAGTTAACAGTGCTATATAAACTTAATAATTTTTAAAATATATCATGAAAACACCAGATTGGCCAAAATAGTCTCAGATGTGCTCTAGCACCCCAAGAGTAAAACCTAGCTAGAAAGATCAGCCTCGAAAACTAGAGACCGAAAATGCCCCAGAGCCTGCCCTGGCCTTTCCATCCTCCTCAGCACGGCAGGGAAGGCAGGAGTGGGCTGACGCGGGTGGCAGCTCTAGCTCTAGTTCTTCAAGGCCAATTATCTTCCAGTTGAATGTTATTTTCAGGGAAACACAGTGCACTGCTAACATGAATGTTACGGTTTAGACCTACAAGGCTCCCAGAACTCTCTTCCTCAGAGGGGCTTCTGGAAGGTGGACTGCTCCTTTGAAGGGGAGCGCACACCTTCCTCTCCAGCTTCCCCCTTCACCGTCTGCTGCCTGGCTCCCCAGAGTTCAACTGCTTCCCTCCGCCAGGCTCTTGCATCATTCTGTGTCTGCTCGGAGCCAGTGGGCCACGGACTAAACTGTGAACCAAAATAAACCTCTTCTTTAAATTGCGAGTGTCTCAGCAATGAGAAGCCTGACTAATACACCGAGTAACTTACAAATTTGTAAACCAAGTGTCTTACCCACTTTCTTATTGCTAAGACGAAATACTTGACCTCCACAATTGAGCAGGGAGGTTTATTTTGGTCACAGTTTCAGAAGCTTCAGTTCATAGCTGCTAAGAGGGCTGGCCGCAGTGGAGAACTGCTCATGTCCTAGCTGCTAGGAAGCAGTGAAAGGAGGAAGCATCCCCAGAGGAAGATGAGCCCTTCAGGTCACACCCTGTGACTGTCCTCTCAGCAGGCCCGCCTCCTGACAGCAAGTCACCTATCAACTCCTGCGTGAATCCACTGATGAGCACAAGGTCACCCCGATGCTTTCAAACACAAGAGGCTTTGGGGATCCAAATCACAACACCAATTCTAAAACCTTCACTTTTATGTGAAAATATGAAGTACATTCATATGAATATTTATTTTACCTTTAAAAGTTCAGGCTCCCAGGTGTCTAAAGTTAAAGATCGTACTTTTGAAAAATGAACCCCAAGACTCCTATGTGGGGGGAGAAAAAGGACTTTATTATTTATTAATATAAAACTATCAGGTTTCTATTCTAGTTGTATATTTATGCACATTATTTTTCTCTTTTAAAGTGGTGTAGGCTCTAATGGAGCCCTCAACATACATAAATAGGGATAGATCCTCTGATTAACAATGGCTGAAGGAAAGTACTTTATAAACCAGAACTTTACCCACCTTATAAAAAATACAAAGATTAAAAACTGGTAGTTAAATTGGAGAGATGAAATTCTCTAACAAATGGAGCATAATAATCCACAATACATATGTATCTGAAAGCAGCCTTTCCCGCTGGGCAGGCCCACCTACCGATGAATCCCAGAGCACTCGATACACAAGGTGATGCCCAGGTTGATGCTGGCCCACCGAGGATCTGCCTGGCCACAGTCACAGCAGCTGGCATTGCCAGGGATGCACTGGACCCGCTGCAGTGCACTTTCACCCTTCAGTAATTTCTCTTTGGACTCACTTCCAGAATCTAGGCTTCCTGTTGATGGAGATGATTTCTTATCCAGCTTCTAAAAGAGTTAAAAATTATTTAGTTTTATTTATTAAAAATGAAGGCTGTAATACTATGTTGCATGCTGCATGAGCCAGGCAAACGTTTCCAATTCATAAATTAATTGTCCACAATGAATATAGAAAGTCAGGCACAATACTAAGCACTGGAGATTGAAGAATAATAAGATGGAGGAGTCTATCAATGGACTTTTAGTTTTTGTTGTTGTTGCTGGGTTTTGTCCTGTTTTTGTTTTTCTGAGATGGGGTCTCACCGCGAATTTCAGGTGGGCCTTAAACTCTCTATGTGGCCCAGATTGGCCCTGAACTCACAGTGATCTTCCTGGCTCAGTCTCATAAGTACTGTGATTATACGCATAAGCCACTTTTCGTCCATTGACTAGCTTTTTTAAAAAAACATTTAAAATTCTACATATATATGTAACTGACATAACAAACATATGTGCAAGATAAGAAAGGCGGAGAAAAACTAACATGCAGTGTAGGAGCAAACGAGACTATCAAGATAAAAAAATTTTATTTTATATCATAGTTTTCTAAGGTATGTAGTTAACTACAAGCAAGTTATTTTAATTACTGCAGTAAATAAATTTTTAGAAGTATAATCATATAAATATTAAATATAGATCAGTTACATAATTTTAATTACAGAGCAAAATCAACAAAAAACCAGAAAATGCCTAAAATTTCAAGGGCTAATAGGTAAATGAGACTGATGAGCAAAAATATAATTTTTTAAGTACACAACAAGATTTATACTACTAATAAAGAATATTTAGGGCCAATGATATAGTTCAACAACACAAGCCCCTGCCTGTCAAATGCAAGGTCCTAAGTTCAATTCCCAATACCAAAAGAACAAACAACAGCAACAAAAAAGAATAGTTAAAAAGCATTTATCTATATATGCTAATAGTGACCAAATACAAAACTGTGGCTCACAAACTCAAAGCAATTAAATATTGAGTCTATGAAGTCTCTAGTTCAAAAGCATTCCAACCTCAGCAAATTAGTTGGTTAGTATTGAATCATTAGAAATACAACTTGGCTCTTGATTTGTCCTTTTTGAAAACTCAACTCCATAGACATTAGACAGGGCCAGGAAGTTTCAGAGATGCCAGAGCTGTGTGAGAAATGCATCCACTCAAAGGCCAGCCCTGTGCGGGTTTTGGAGTCCCTCACTGGGTAAGGGCATCTGCATGAGGACGCAATCCAGCAAGGGAAACGGAGCCCCTAGGGAGACGAGGGCGTGTAAGGAGTACAGGTGCTAGCGTGAGGTATCAGAGCCCAAGTAGGGTAAAAATATTGGTGTACAGCTGCGAGAACAAAGTTGGGAGCAAGCAGCAGTGACAGGATACTAGTTACATACAGAGGGATAGATCATAAAGTAAACAAGTGAGAATAAAGATAAATGGGGGCTAGATTTCTTACTGCAGAAAAAGGAGTTATTTACAAGAAACAGGAATACTGAAATAAATCCTGCTGTCATGGTTTATGTTTGTGTCCCCCAGGCCTCATGAGTTTGCATTGTTCATTTGTGATGGTTCATTGTATAGTGCTTGGATTGTGTCAGTGCTCCACCCACATAGGGGTGGAGCCAGGATGGGATGTAATGGCAGGAAGAAGGTGTGCTTTTCTCTTTGCTGGTTTGAGTTTGCTGCTGGCGGCTGCCATGAACTGCAGCCCAGCCATGCCTGCCTGTCTTGGAGACAACTGAGTGTGGACTGAAACCTCCAAAAACTGTAAGAAATAAACCTTTCCTTTCCAACTTTGGGCTTCAGGTATTTTGTCTCAGCGACAAGTAAAAAGTGACTAAGATAGAAATTTGGTACCGAGGAGTGGGGTCGTTTGCTGTGACTATACCTGGCCATGTTTTTCAAGAGGCTTTGGAAATGGCTTGTGGGCGGAGTTTGGAAAGGTTTGGACATGTCGCCTGGATGCATAGAGCTGGAGCAGCTTAGGCTGTTCTGTAGAGGAGATTCTGGTCAGAGATCAGGAGACCAGAAGGCTGATGATAGAAAGCCTCTTGGTAAAGACCAGGCTTGGGAGGTTTCTGCTGGAAAGGACTGCATTGGTTGTTGGACTCCACATGATGTGTGTTATGGCTTGGCAGAAAGTTTGTCTGCATTTTGCTCCTGCCCAGAGACTTTGCCTGAGACTGACACAAAGGGCAATGGACTGATTAATCTTGAAAAAAATTAAAAAGCAATCGAACATTGAGGCTGTGGCATGGCTATTGTTGGGGGCTTTTAGCCAGCTTTACGTTTCAAATCAGGAGCAAAGAGCCCAGCAGGATAATTTCCAATACTGTGAGTTTGGCCTGAAGGAATATTCCAGGAAGGGTGTGGTTTGTAAAGACAGAGTTGAGATTTTGATTCCTGAGGAGAAACAGAGATAAGAAAGATGGCCCCGGGGCATCCCAGGAAGCAGGTCCCCACCCTGTGTAGCCTCATAGCAAAGATGAAGAGTGCCATGCTCCAGAATGGCGACAGAGGCCACATGAGGTTCCAGAATGGCGGCAACACAGAGAAGCTTTTCATCACAATCAGGTAGACAGAGCCCTGCGATCCAGGCAACTGACCCCTACAGCCAAGAGAGAGAAAAGCCTGGCTACTGCTTCAGCTAACAGCAAACCTTGGCGGCATCCACAAGGTGCTAATTTTAGGTGCAAGGAAAATGCACGAATTCTAAGGGTAAGACGGCTTCCACCTTGATTGCAAAGGGTCTGGGAGGCCAAGCAGTGTGCCCCGGAGAGGGCAATTTGTGAAGATGTAAAGGTGAAGCCGAAGGTGCAGTGGAGACCCCAGAAGTTTGGAAAAGCCAGGAATGTGGATGATCCAAGGGAAGCTGCAAAAAGCGAGCAGAGATTTAAGAGAAAAGCTGTGGGAGTTGAAATCACCAGAAGTGCCCTGGGGGTGGAATCACCCAAGGCTTTTGGAACTTGCAACCAGATTGCTTCAGATGCTGAGCTTGGAACTCTTAATGTTCGTCCTGCTAGATGTTGGACTTGCTTTGATTCCAATGCTTTATATTCCCCTGTTTGTAACTTTTGGAATGGTAATGTTTATCTTGTGCCTTTGCATTTCAGAAATGTTTAACCTTGTTTCTTTTGTACAGGGGCTTACAGTTAAGAGTTTGCCTTAGATCTTGGAGGAGACTTGGGACTTAGACTTTTCAGCAATGTTGAAACTGTTAGGACTTTGGCAACTCTTGGAGGTGGACTAAATGTCTTTTGTATAAAGGATGTACATGAGTCCTGGGGGCCAGGGGTGGAATGTCATGGTTTATGTTTGTGTCCCCCAGGCCTCATGAGTTTGCATTGTTCATTTGTGATGGTTCATTGTATAGTGCTTGGATTGATGGTGTCAGTGCTCCACCCATATAGGGGTGGAGCCAGGATGTGATGTAATGGCAGGAAGAAGGTGTGTTTTTCTCTTTGCTGGTTTGAGTTTGCTGCTTGCGGCCGCCATGAACTGCAGCCCAGCCATGCCTGCCTGTCTTGGAGACAACTGAGTGTGGACTGAAACCTCCAAAAACTGTAAGAAATAAACCTTTCCTTTCCAACTTTGGGCTTCAGGTATTTTGTCTCAGCGACGAGCATAAAGTAACTAAGACACCTGCTATATTAAATGGAGATAAGAACTGGAGATAAAAATCAGCACACTAATGGTTTACAATATGAACAGATAAAACAGATGTAAATGCATACATGCATATTATAAACCTTGTCTTATTTTCTAAATATCACTTTCTACTAAAAGGAACTAGGGTTCTTTGGAGAAATGGTTGATTTCATGGCTAATGAAGAGAACGCACAAGAAAATGAACTGTTGTGTCAAGAAGCATTCAAAGATCAGCAGGATCAACTCCAAAGCACACACAAGACTCCACGTCCGAATAGTCCCCTTGTTTTGAGCACATTTACCCACTGTTCTTGTCCTTTTCTAAAGCAAGATCTGAATCTTTTCATGGCTGCCTCAATGTCCTGAATCAATTCCAAACATTTGCAGCAATTTCCATCACATAAGAACATCTCGGCATCTTCTCTCCACCTTGTACACTGGATCTGGCACCGTGTGACTTTCGGCTCTTCCCCAAAGTCACAATGACCATGAAAGGGAATCATTTTGAATCAGTTCAAAATACTGAGACAGCCACAACAGTAAAACATTCAGGAAAGAGAATGTCCAGAGCTGCTTCAGAAAGTGTCAAGAACACTGGGGTAAGTGTGTTCAAGGACAGGAAGTAGATTTTCAGGGAGATTAATAGCAATGTGTCTTTTATCCTAATAAACTTTTAAATTGAAACATTCACTATATTTTTTAATCATATCTTGTAATGTTCCTGCCAAAGATATATAAACTCATGAGTAAATGGCAAATAACCCCAAACTGAAGAGCATTCTGCAAAATAGTATGTAATTTTCAAAACTATCAAGCTCAAGAAGGTCAAGATAACACTGTGGAACAAATCAAGACTGAAGGGGATTAAAGACACATTATAACCAAAAGCTACCAGTGCTTCTAAACTAAAGCTTTTTTGCTGTAAAAACATTACTGGGGCAACTGTTCAATTTGAATGATATATGGGAATTAAATGATAGTAATTTATCAGGTTCATGTCTTAACCCGACAGCAGTACCATGACTGTGCAGGAGAATGATGTATGTCATAGGAATGGGTGGTATGGGGTGATAGAGCATCCTGTTGGCTACTCACTCCTAGGTAGTTCAGGGAGAGAAAGTTACTTGTACTGTAACTGGAACTTCCATGTCAGTTTGAGATTATTTCCAAAAACAATTTTTCAAGAAATATCTGTTTTATCAGTACATGCTTGATGATGTGAAACTAGCTCATAAGCAGTTACACTGTGAAAGTCAGTATTATAATGCAGATATCATGTTGATTCATTCCCAATTCTTCTCTACTGTTTTGTTTTGTTCTGTCTGAGACAGGGTCTCATTCTGTAGTCCAGACTGGCCTTGAACCCACTACACAGCCTAGACTGGCCTCAACTGAAACGATTCTCTTGCCTCACCCTCCCGAGTGCTGGGATTGCAAGCCTGTGGTACCATACCCAGCAACCCAATTCTTTTCTATGTGCTAACATTCTTGCACCAAATTAGAGAATCTAAAAGCTAAGTATTCTAACATAGCATAAACTCAGAAAGTCACCTTAAAGAATATAGCACTGAAAATGAAAGTAGAAGGAATGATTGTTTCAGAAACAGATCTCCGGGATCTCCTCAACTGCTTACTCTTAGTGGGCTGCTCTCTATACACAAGAACATGAAAAGACTCAAAGTTTATTCTCTGGAACAGTAAAACAGTCTCTGGATGGAGTTCACAGGAAAGGTGAAAGGCAGGAGCAGTGAGTTAACATACACATACTGAATGCTAAGATACCCAACACCTACTTACCTATCAGCCCCCTCCACCCTATATGGGAGATCAGTAAGTTTCTCTGGAAAATCGGCCAGAGTCTCCAAAGATCCTGATTCTGATGATTGCAAACACAGTTCAAATTTGGGTGTATCCTACAATCAACAAGCTTTCAACTATGTGTTTGAAAGTTCTAAGAGGCTTGTAGTCCTAACTTACAACCCTAAGCAGACTGTACCAGAGTGCCAAGGAAAATCTCTTATCGCAGTCATTCTCAAATTTGCTTGTTCATGGAAATCTCCCAGAAAACTTTTTAAAATAGTGATGCCTGGATCCCAATTCCATTTACTTGTCCTAGCAGAAGACATTGGGAGTTTTTAAGTCTCTATGTGTTCCTATAAATCAAGGTTAAGAGTAACTCTTGACATTACATCTACAACAAAAGAACAGGTGTAGCTGTAAAAACAGTGAATAAAGAAAAACACTTGGAAACTCTGCTAACAGAATGGAAATATTCGACAGAAGGTTTAGAAGAGTAACTGAAAAGATTTCCTAGCAAGGACAGCAAACATACATGCACTCAGAGAAAGAGAAAGAGACAGAGAAAATCATAATGCTAGTCTAGAAATACTATAAAAAGAAAACAGAAATGGGAGAGGAGACATACAAAAGATTAGTAACAAAAGCTCCAACAGCAGCACTTATAAATTAAAATTAAATTCTTAAAATTTAAATTAAAAATTAAAATCAAAAGAGGGAAAAACAGAACAAAAACAGGATTTATTTCCAACCTAAAAATACACTCCGCCAAACTATCAAATAAATGTGAGAACAGAATAAAGATATTCCTGAGCATGTATGTATTTACTCTCAGGAAGATACTGGAAGCTTTTCTTAAGTTGAGAAGGAAAAAGACACAGGACACGGGAAAGAGTATAATCTCCAAAAGAGATGATGCAAGACCCCCAGACGATTATCAACAGTGCGGTTAGGGCTGACTCATCTAGCCTGCAGAGGTGTGGTTCAGGTGACAGATATTTTGAAGGCTATCTTCACCAAGAAGTCCTTTGTCAGCATCCCCACCATCTGTATCCCCTGGCCTCTGATGAAATGCCAATACTCCCCTCAGTGCCTCACTACTTGGACCAAGTGAGTACCCTCCCAGCTCCTGCTTAGGAAGTGTTCCAGTCAGCCACGAGGAGTCCTGAAATACAACTCAGACAGCACTCCATTTCCCCGGCTGTGCTTCTGTTATTCAACTCTCCCAAGCCTACACCTCAGGACCAGAGGACCTGACAGAGGACCAGTGTCCACCAGAGGACCCAACAGTAATGACTTTCATTTTCAAAGGCTCACTCACAAATCTTGCCTTTATGGTAGGCTACAGTACAAAACTTTTCCAAGAAGGTTTCAACTAAGAGACAATGTTATGCTTTGCTTTGTTTTGCTATTTTTCTTTGGAAGACAGACTGCCTCAGACTCTCGGTGATCATTCTGCCTTAGCTTCCCAAGTGCTGGGATTACAGGCATGTACCACCACACCGGGCTGTTTTTGCTTTTTTACTCATTTGAATTTTAAAAACATTTCATGGTTAATTATCTTCTCTTGCTATTAATTAAATAGTAAAATACTTCCAAACAGGGAAAAAACACTAACATCAGAATACCTTATTGCAATATGGGGCATACAGTCAAATATTAAAATAAAGATTTATTCAAATATTAAAGTAAGTAGAATTGTAAGATATAAGCTTGAGAAATTGAGATTTTAAAAACTCATTTCAATTACATAAAACCATCTCCCATTTAAAAGGATGTTATAATCATATAGTAATCCAACTAAAATTAAATCTCCTGGCAATGTAGCCCATGGTATTGACAGCACCTCTACTGACCTCTGATTCATCACCCTTCTCTCTATAAGCAGTTGCAATACTGGTCTGAACAGCCTTAATCCACGCCTGCCGAAGCTTTTCGGAATCTGCCTGGAGCATACAGCTTCTAAAAGAAAATAATATATTGCTTTCTCAGACCAGAAAAAAAAGTAAGCCCATAAGCTTTATTTCTTTGCTCATTTGGTATTCAATAATTTTCTAGCAAAAAGGAATTTCAATTGCAAAAAAGTTCAATTTTATCCTTCGGACAATGTATGTTCAGGAAAAAAATCAGGATACCAGTGAAACAGATTATCTCCTAAGAGTCAATTTGCACATTAAAAAATTTAAGTAAACTCTTAAATTTACCATCTGAATGAAGCATTATTTATGTATTTATTTATTGTAGTGCTGGAGACTGAACGCAAGCCCTTCCCATTGAGCCATAGTACATCTCCAGCCATTTTAATCTTTTTAATTTTGAGGCAAGGTCTTGTTATCATCAAGCTGCAGGCTAAGTTTAAATTAGTGATTTTCCTGCCTCAGCCTTGCAGAGTGCCAAGATTTTATAAAATGATAGTTCTCAAAATAACTCATCTGATACATGATTTTAATCTATCATCACAACTAAAAATTTTTACATGGACACATAAATAATCTTTACAGAATTTAAAAAATATATTACAGATCAGAACTTATGTTAATATGTCTATAATATCTATTGTCATTAATTATTAAAATTTATGTTTTAAATACTTTTTTTATTTAGCACAGATGATCATAAGTACAAATTTCTCTACTCTGGAAAATTCTTTTAAGACAAACAACAGAAACATAAAAGCAATTCTCAAATTTCTCAGGGTGACTTACTTCGTGGGAGAAACCACCTCAAAGCAGAATCGTCTTTCTATGTCCTCACAGTGCTTCACAGTGCAGAGCCTGAGATCTTCAACTACAACTGTGGGGTTATCCTGCCAAACAGATGCAAAGTTTCCATATTTACCGACACAGTTGTAAATACTAGCAACTTTACAAATTACACGGACTGAATGGTCCAATTTTAAAGATTTATATTTTTATCTTATTGCAGATACAGATAGAAGTACAGAACTAGATATAAAGAATATAGGTTAACTCAGTCTTATAAATTTATTAATGAAGCCGTTTTTATAGAGCTCGGTCAGTGCTCCATACTTAGCATATTCAATAAATGCTAGCAGCCTCTTAGTTTTCTTTAGTTTCATTCAGATTTACTGCTCTTGGGATCTCTGCTCATATAACAGAAGCTACCTTCCCCCAAAGAGAAGCCTTTAATGAATCATGTTTTTAAAACTGCAGATAGGTGTGGTGCTCTATACTTGTAATCACAACACTTGAGAAGCTAAGGGAGGAAGAAAGTTCAAGGTCATCCTAGGCTACATCATGAGATCAAGACCAACCTAAGCTACATAGGCAAGCCTCTGTATTAAAACAAAAACAAACAAACAAAAAATCCTCAAATATGTTTTAAAATCCATTTTAAAATTCCTTTAAAGAGAATGGCTCTACTACTGAATAAAAATGTTAACTTAAAATTAAGTTTATCAGAGTGGAAGAAACCATAAACTATTTTCTTAAATTAAAGGATTTATAAGAACAAACCACCAGGAATATAGCTCAGAGGCATAAGTGATTGCCTGGCAAGTACAAGGTCCTGAGTTCAATTCCAGGTACCAAAAAAGAAAAAGAACAACAAACCTGCTAATATAGGGCCGTGCATGTAAAGTTTCACATTATCTCAAGAGTTAAGCAGATATTTAAAACTTATAGTCTGGGGCTGGGGATTTAGCTCAGCGGCATAAGCACCTGCCTTGCAAGCAGGCGGTCGTGAGTTCTATCCCGGGTACCGATAAAAAGTTAAAAAAAAAAAAAAAAACAAAACTTATAGTCTACCAAATGTCATTCACAAAGGTTAACTAGGTGAAAATCAAGTTATCAGTTAACAAAGCATTCTTTTTTTCTAACAATTTTTAATATTCTCAAATTATAAATAACTCCAATATTTAAAATTTTTCACCCTTAAAATACAGTTCAGGAAAACAGACATGAATACAATATTAATAAATTAAGGAGATTCTATTTAAATTACTTTGAGCTTACATTTTAATTAATGCCATTTTTAATCTCTCTAAAGTATCACTGTTCATCCTAAAATCCTATTTCTTAAAAGGCATACTCTGCTTCAGTTTCAAGATACTACTGTGATTCCTGCCATACAGACAAACACATTGAAAAATTCACCTAAGGCACAGAAAAATCCATCTTAAAGCGTGGAATTAAAAAGCTAGGATTGGAAATCACTCTGCCTTTAAGGATCAAATGCTGATGCTTCCACTTCGGTCTTCGCATACATGCCAGGAATTTTGTTTAAGAGTATTTCTGGACTTCAGTCTTTACCAAGACAGATAAAGAATAAACATTGGGGACTCACTGCATTTTCACTTAATTACTTAACAAAACACCTACCTTAAACTTTTTCTGGTAAACCAACTGATTGTTCTGTATTGAAAACCAGCGTCTAAATAAAGATAAAATAGATTATGTCTTCATAAACATAAATTACTTTTGTTGTTGGCAGAAATGAAATACTTGAGAAAGAATTCAGAAACCAGTTTATGGTAATTATGTTGAGAAATGCATTGTCTTGTTTTGCTTTATATAAACTGATAGTAATATAAAGTAAGCCCTAAAAATTAAAAATGTTTTAAAACCACAGATTAAGAAAATAAAATTAGTATGTTTTGATTCATTTTATATTATAAATTTATATTTCTACAAAAGGTGTCTTTACACTATCATCAGATAACTGTTTTCAAGTACAAAACTAATAATTTTTAGGTTCCCTGAAATAACTGAAATCTTTCCCTTAAAATAGTTACATTTATTATAAAGTTAAACTAAATTTATATTGTGAATAAAAATATCCATTTGTGTTCAGTTAAACATTAAGTGGTGTTTTTTCAATATTTTGGTAGATAATTTAGCAAGCACTTGATTTAATAAACAAAACAGAAAACCAACCATTGTGAATTTTATGAAACAGGAAATAATCAAGTAACTTGCACTTACTTTCATATAAAATACTTTGCAAAATAAAGTTCTTACTACAAAGGATTCACTGGACTGTTTATGTTTCTGCTCATTGTTGTAAGTCATTAGAAAAACAATTTACTTGCAATCTTCTTTAGAACAGAGAAGGCTAAGATATATATGTCATACTAATTCCAATTTATTAAAATAATAAAGATCTAAAGACTTAGAAAAAAATCTCAGCCAAAAGCCATTCATAAAAAAGAAAGCCAAACTTCTCATCAAGCATGAAAGGGAAAATGATGAGTCATTATTTTAAAATTAGTTTCATGTGAAATGATTTCATTATAAATATTAGTTATTAATCTATTAGCAGATATTCTACCTTTTCCTTGATGCTAATGCAAAGTACTAAAAATTATATTTAGACTTTTAGAATTTCTATTCCTCACAATTTGGTTATTTCTCCAAAGCTAGAAAATGATGAGGAGATCATATTTAAGCCTTTTACTAGACAGACTGTTACGTTTTCTTGCCACTTAAAAATAAGCATCTAGATAAAACCAGTTGGGTTGCCTCTAAATGCAAATCATCCAGAGGTACCCTAGAAAAGGAAGAACTTCTGGGTGTCTTTGCTTTGCAGAGACAGCTGTTAGAAATGTTAAACTCCCTACACACAAACAAAATGGTGCAGCCCTGGCAGGTAGGATGACATGCAATGGATATGATCTCTGAAGTGATTACAGTGTTTGTGGTCATTTTAAAAATCATTGGAAGGAGGCTGAAGTATTTTAATAAGGATTCACAGACTTTATATTATGGCAACAATATTACATGATTTAATGCAAACTATAGTTTTATTGAAAAATGGAAAAGCACCCATATAATCATGCTAACTTTTCATGCTTATGAGGTCTTCAAAAAAATTTCTTTTGATTTACTGCATCTTAGGATAATATTCTCTGAAAACAATAATAAAACACTAGATAAAAACGTGGGCTTTTGGTCAGAGGCTATTCCCTTTGATGACTAATTTTATGGATCATGCATACTTCTGAAGCCCACTTCCCTTACCATTTATCTATTTCTGGGTAACATTCTCACATTATCAGTTTCTGTACTGTTGGTAAAAACAATACAAATTCATCTTAATTTGATCTGTAATAAAGAAGTTATGTAATATACCATAGTTGGAAAACATTTTCTAATTACAAAAATCTGTCTTATGACACTATCTCCCCTGTGCTGCCAATAAACATTTTTTAAAAAGCTGACTATACTCATCTGATCAATATTTTAATCAGGAACATAAAACAACATAATTTTTAATTATAAAATAAACATAGTTATTAATATTTCTAAGAAAGAAAAAAAAGACCAATCTTGGCCTGCAAAATATAGGGGATATAATTTCTTTTCTCTCTCTCCCTCCCTCTCTCTCTTTTTGAGACAAGAGCTCATTATGCAGTTCACACTGGCCTTGGACTCACTTTGTAGCCCAGGCTGGTGATTCTTCTGCCTCAGGCTCCCAAATGCTGGGATCACAGGAGCACACCACCACACCCAGCTAAAACATAAGGCAATTTCTAAAAAGGAAGATTTCTTAAGAAAAATAAAAATATGATTTTATATCTACCTCAACTTGAAGAGATTCGGTATATTTTAAAACAGTACTAAATTCATAAAAAAAATTAAATACAATTAATTTTTACACGCAATCAAAGCTTCCAGACTACAAAATGGGGCAGGAAAGGATCTACAAGAATGTGCCCCCCAAAAAGAAATATATATACACACACATTCCAGGAAAAGAAAAATAGTACGGTATTTTTTTCAACAGATGGCATTAGCCTCATATGGGGGACTCTAGAGGATTCAGTGTATCACAGAAAACACACTACACTGTTGGCCTTTAGAAAAGAAACTGAAAATGCTTGCGCAGCGATCTTAGTGACCAAGGTGACCCAAGAGCAGTTCACCGTGCTAATAAACATCTGGGAGCTGACAGCCACTGTTCTGAGCACTTCTTGTAACTGTAGAGGCCAAAGGTAACTTGTATTAATCTCATGATATCACAGATCTAGTATTCAACTATTTATACATGCTTTTCTTTTCCTCAGTTATGTATACAATTTTGGGTGACCTCTGTACATATATATATATCTATAGTATGTAATCTTTTCCCATATTTAATCATTAGTTTCAGAATTGCACTTGAAATCAGGAACATAAGTGAAACTCCTAAAATCTACAGAAATTTTAACACTGAAACTGTAAAGTGATGGGTTTGTGTACATATTCATAAAGGTGCCACATACATTAACATGTAATAAAAGCCTGAATGTTCCTTTAAATTCAACTTATTTCCCACAGTGAAAAAAGTGGCAAAGCAAAGAAGGCTTAGAAACTGACAATGTGTTCTTTCAATATAATTAATATGATTATCACCAAAGGTACTAATTCTGTTGTTCCTCAATTTTTTTTTTTTTTTTTTTTTTTTTTTTTTTTTTTTGTGGTACCCGGGATTGAACTCATGACTTTGCACTTGCCAGGCAGGCACTTATGCTGCTGAGCTAAACCCCGGGCCCTTCCTCAAATTTTTAAAAAGCTTGCTACTGTATTTTCCTTGTTTAAAAAAAAGACATAAAAATATTTATTTATATTACTCAATCTGCATCTTTGAGTAATATAAGCACATCAAATGTTCTTTTACAGATTAAAATAAATTGACAAGATGGGTAATTAGAAGGTATAATTCCATTCCTCAAATAAAACACTTATATCTTCTTCCCAATTTAAAACATAAAGAGACTTTTTATCCATTGCAAGTAGTCCAACAGAAAGGCAGGTTAATATGAGCTCTTTCGTGCCAAAGAGGAAACTGGCGTAAGATGAGGGTAAAGGGAAGGAAGCCGTTTGGTACCTGATATGGTCGGGCTTTTTCCTGTCATGTGAAAAAACGGGGCAGGATTAAAACATAAGGGAAAGGCGGTAAAAGAATGAAAACGCAAATGTGCAAAACAAGCAGAGGACTAGCATGGTTCGAAAACAAAGCGAGAATCACAGGAACGAGCTGAAGCTTATAACCTACCAAAATAGGCAAAAGTATCTACTGTAGTTTATTTACTTCTTATATATGTGCATTTGTAGAATTCATTCCAAGTCAGGAATATAAAATGCTAATATTCAAAAACATTCAAAAACTCGCTTTAAGAGTTACCTTATAAAAAGCTCTAGTAGGAAGACAACATAACCAGTCATATCTCTATTATTATTTTCTGCCTCTAAGTTCAAAACTATAAAACATAGCAAGAGTACCTTATCATAATTTAATAAGCTGCTCAAGAAAGCAAGAGAAACATGCATATACTGTAGGTGTATACACATCTGTATAGGACAAAACCTTTTCATAAGGAAAATAGGGTCACTAGTTAGGAATTTCAAAGACAAAATATCAGCCAAATAAGCCTCCCACCTCAATTCCTCTGGTTTCATCAAATGACAGCAGAGCCTAAAGCCCCACATTATGTGTAGGACCCATCTTTAATCACTATACATATTTTTTAAAAACAGCCAATAAAAACAAACCATTTATATTTTCACCAACAGAACACTGCTTTTTTAAAAATTGTGTAACACATTTTATGTTTTTAACTATATTTTCTAGTGCAACAATGACATCATGTCTTTTAAAATTAGCCTTTTCAAAATATTGTTAAATTATCTTAACATTTATCTTCTGGATTAATTACTCCTTCTAAATTATAAAAAGCAAAAAATAAAATTATGTTCTAATAGCCCATTGATTTAAGCCTGAAGTGAAGCTGCTACATTAAGAAAATGACTTAGTAAGAAAAAATTATTATGGCAGACTCCACACTTGTCCTCAGAAAAACATATATAGTGATCCTTTGTTAAGTGTGGGAGACTGGTCCCTGAATCCCATCAGATATCAAAATCAATAGGTGCTCTAGTCCTTCATATAAAAGGTGCAGTATTTACATATAACCTATACCATACACTTATATGTGTGTATGTAAAATATGTATATATATATATATATATATATATACACACATACATACATACATATGTACACATTTATCCACTTAAGACACATCCCCTCTCCAACCCTATTCTTCTAAGATTGGGTCTCAGTAAGACCCTAAATTGCCCGGCCTAGACTCAAATTTTCAGTGTCTTGCCTCAGCCTCCCAGAGTGCTGAGGGGAGAGACAAGTGCCACTATACCCAGATTTTCCATATTTAAAAAACTGTTTAAAGGAGATGATGTCTTTGCCAGGCTGGTCTCAAAGAGCAAAACGCAAGCAACTCTCCCACATCAGCTTTAGAGCAGATCCGCTACTGGCACACACCACTGCACTCTGCTCTCCCATGTATTTAAATCATCTCCTAAATTACTTACAATGCTTGATATGATACAGATGCTAGGTTACATTGTTAGATTGCATTAAACAATAACAAGAAAAAAACATCTGTAGATCTTTTTCCTAAGTTTTTCTCATCTGTGGTTGGTTGGAGCCATTGATATGAAATCCATCTATATAGAGGGCAATTATTAGATGGATGTAAAATTTTGAGATATCACAAACTAGAAATCTGAAACAAACCAATCCATATGAGATGTAAAATTTTTCATTCTTTATACTATGTGAATCATATTACAGACAACAGATCTAATTTCAGATTACACCTCAGCTTTCAAAATAAACTAATCTAGGAGGCATAGAGTGAAGTTTTAAAACTATTTGGAAGTTCCCAGTCACATACACATATCCCTCAAGAAGAAAGTCTTTTTAAAAAGTTGGTATTTAAAAATATAATGCCATAATTCCATAAAAGTACAGATCATGGAAACTCATGGTTATGTGATTATTACCTGACAGTGATTATACCACCTACTTTCCCTAAAAGTAACCAAACAACCTAGAAAAAACACTCAAGCAGTGGGCAGAAAAACCTTTGTATGTGAATAATTGGATTCCTAGAGTTGTAAAAGGTATAAATACCACAAATACATAGTCTTATTCAGAGGTCAGCAGAATACAAGAAGTGGGATGGAGAACTCATTAGAAAAGTAGAGCATATGCAAACCCAAACATGGAGAAAGGGAAATTACTGGAAAGTACTTCCAATTTTTGATAAATCTCATTTAAGAAATTTAGATATAAATTTTTAACATTACAAAGAAAGACAGAAGAAATAACATTTTAAATGTTGTTTGTTACTGTTTAGACCTAAAATATTCTCCAAAGCCTCATGAACTCATACAACAGGCTTTTGGGATGTGATTGGATGGGTCTGGGAGGTGGGGTCTGGTCAGAAGATGGGGGTCACTGGGGGTGTGTCCTGGAAAAGTTTACCTCCTCCCTCTCTTCCTTATTCTCTCTCTACTTCCTGCTACCACGGGGCCAAACCACACCAGTCTCCCAGGTCCCCTGCCTTGGAGCCAGGGCACCATGGCCTAAAACCTCTCATTTAAATTGTGAGTGTTAGGTAGTTCATCCCAGCAATGAGGAATTACAGCAACTAAAATAACATTTAACAGAGTCCTCTTCTTTTTCTTCCTACTTTCGGAATTCCTTACTGCTATAGTCTGCATATGATTTGCTTGTCCCAGAGGTATACGGGACAGAGACTCAGTCCTTACTGTGGCAGTGTTCTTTAAGAGCCAAGTGCTAGGTGCTGAGGTCACTGAGGATGCAGCTTATGGAAGGGATTCACGCTACTCTCTTAGAGTCAGTCGGTTCCCAGGCGAGGAGACCACTACAGAAAGAGAGGCCTGGCTCGTTTTCACTCTCTTGCTTCCTGTCTCACCACATGAACTCTTCTACACATACTTTGGCTGCTGCAGTGCTATCCACCACGAGGCCCTCACCAGACACGGCAAGACACTGGGCTTTCAGCCTCTAAAACTGTACACTAAATAAATCTCTTTCCTGACCACTTTAAAACTTCATTTCTTTACTGAAAATTCAGGTATTCTACTATGTTACTCTTTAGATCTAAAATGTCCCCCACACACACCTTGTGTTCAGAGGTGGGGCTTTTATAAGGTGACTGGGTTATGGGGCACTGTACCATCAGGAGATTAATTCACTGATGAATTTATAATGGAATGCTATTGGGAAGTGGGCCAAGTGGGAAGAGGCAGGACACTGGAAGCATGACCTAGAAGGATGTACTCCTACAGCTGCTTCCTCCCCTTCCCTCTCCGCCATGGTGTAAGTAACTGTCCTCCACCAGGCCCTTCCACCGTAAAGTTTTTGCCTTGAAGCCATGGACTGAATCCCCGGAATTGTAACCCAGTCAACCTCTTCTCCTTTAAGTTACAGGTGTTGGGTACTGTGACCAGCAACAGGAAAGATAACTAAACAAGCTGATTCCGATCAACAACTTTCACCTCACTACAAACAAGCGGCATCTCTTTTAAAGCCCACCTTCCAAGGGCAGTCTCTTTTTCCCATTGCAGGTGGTAGTAACAGGTCTACAACCAAAGATTTAACAGTTACATTCGACTTAATTCTACTTATATTTAGTATGCATGGTAATTAAAAGAATTCATAAAACAAAAAATGAGAAGGTCCATGCTTAAATCAAAATTAGTGTTTTCCTACTGCCCTAAATGGCAGTGTGATTTTCCACTAACACTTACTGTGCTTCATTCTGAAGTCTGAGACCATTTTTCACTGCTGTAGTCCATGAAGTTCATTTCTTCTCCTCATACATAATGGTATGTTTCTATGGGCTTATTATATTTTCATTTTGGTAAACTTTAAGGAGGTTGTTTTGAAATCTGAAGGTTAAAATTCAACTCTAATATTATATCACAAAATTGTACTGGTTGAGTAATCTTTATTATATAGATCCACCAATCAAACTAATTTTTTAAAAATCTCCTATTCTAGCTACAGAAATGTGTCAGGACAGCCTTCACAGGTTATTGTCTTAAGTTTTTAGAGGTTAGAAACAATTTTAAGTTTTCACTTTTACTTTGTAACAACTGGAAACATTATTTCTAACCAAGTCACTTATGTTGGTCCTCCTATATTTGTTATTATTTTTAAAGTTGTACATACTTAACTTGAAGAGACTTAATTCCTAAGACAACCATTGTTCTTTTGATTTTATATTCTTCATCAGGTAAATAAAAATTATTTTAAATAAAACCATGTACCATTTACACATTCATTAATATTAAATGCTAGAGAAATGCTCAATAAATGAGACATCTGGAAATATGACTGCTTTTTCTATATAATCTCAACAGAGAAATCAAAATAAGTGCATTAGGAACCTATTTCAATAAAGTAATGAATGTTTCCATTTCATTTTACAAAATATATACTAACTTAAGCTTACCAAGAAATTTCTATTTATTTTGCTAATGTCTTTTTAAAAAAAATACGAAACCAACCTTCTCCCCCATTAGACAAATTCATATCCTGTTCAAGTAATAAAATATACACATCAACCAATAACAACATAGTAAATCAATTAATCAAGGGTTTAAATACTACTCTGTATCATTATAAAATTGTTCTACTTTTCTTGTTTCTGTTTTTGAAAAAATGAGGTATCCTTGATAGGATTAATCACAAATGTTGAGTGCATAGCACCTGTCTGACAAGTGTATCGTCCTGGGTTCAATTTCTGGTACCCTAAAAAAAGGAACTAATGTTCAGAACAATGTTTCTGAGCCATACAGTTTTTTGATGCTTTGAGGTGTGAAATTATTTCAATTTATTATACCAATAGAGAAAAATACAATAAACACTTCATGCATTCATTCTTATAACAAACATACAGTGAATTTATAGTTTGTAAAATTCAAAATTTTGGATAGCCATCAAGTTTAGAATAAAGCAGTAACAACTGCCATAACATCCAATTTTTTAAATCCCACTTGCTTAAGTTCTTAATTAATTAGGGTTATTACAAAGACTAAACTTTCAGGCCAGCTTGCTTAACAATTCATAAGCAAATGGCAGTAGAAATATATATAAACATCAGATAGAAGGTGGAACTAAAAGAAGAACAAAAGCCCATTTATTCTATTTATCAATTATATGGAACATATAATTTTTCTGTACTCTATTTTGTAATGAGAGGTAGTTCATATCCAAAAGTCTCCATAGACCAAGAATTAAAGAAAACCTCTTCACTGCTTCCTTTAAACCTTGCTTAAATTTCAGAATTAAGAATTAATGTCTTCATTTTTAAACTGCTTCTAAGAACAATCTTTTCAATGGGCCCCAAGAATTTACAGACTTTAGAGAATTACAGAGATGACTTGCCTAATCAAAGAGAAAGTCACAATCTACAAATCCAAAAGCGCAGGACCAGTATTTGAACTGTTACCTGTTCCACGTTTTGAAGGCATTACTGGCTCGTTTGAACAGATATCCTTCCATGACGATGCCATTTGCAGCGTCTACATTGTATTCTAACTTAGAATCATCACTGGAGAAATCCTAGACAAAATTACACACAGAAGTTTATGGCTTGACACACTCCCCAGAAAAATAAACTTACCCTAGGGAAAGAGCTCAAACGGAAGAAAGTCTTTTAATTAAGATGGTTACGAAAACTATGTTTGTAAGAAATGGGGAAAAAGATCCAAACGATCAATATTGAGGACCACAGCATATTTAAAGTATTTTAGTTTAATGGACTGTCATGCAATAATTACTACAGTGATGGTGCAAAATCACAGATGATTATATAGAAAATACTGTTAGATAAAAAACATAAATTGTATTAAAAGAAAATAATATGTATACAAACAAAAAAAAACCAAATATCACACAGTGTTATCTTTAAAATGCTTTTATGCTAATCTTTTATGGTTATATGTGTTCATAAAATTTAAATGGCATATAGATGTATTTAATTTGGATTAACTGAATCTATACTATTTACTAAATATGTTACTATCGTGGTAGCTTTTCAATCTGATAGGAGAACTCTATTACTTTAAAAAGCAGAAATAGTGTAAAAGAACTACACAATCTTTTTAAGCTAAAATAAAATTTAGTTTTACATAGCAGAAAGACCTTAAGACCATAGTTTAATGTAGTGATGTTGAGCCCACTTTTTTTCAGGACTATGAAATCACTCAAGAGTAAGTCTATATTTAAATGCAATACAAATTTTGAATTTTCTTCCAAAGGGTCACAAAACTCGGAAATCAGAAACCCAATACTTATAATTTCCTAACAAAGTTCCAAATCATTTTGAACAAAACTGCAAGATTATGGTTATCGTAGCAAATTAAATCTCTTAAAAACCAGTCTTAGAACTATCAAAGTTACTCCTGTATCAATGATTAAAATTAGAATGCTACCTGTCTTGGGAAACATTTTGGCAGAAGCTGGATGAACTGCCTGATGAGAGTGCTGAGATGTGAGGGACCTGCATTAGAGGGAAGGCAGAGTGAGAATCACCCAGGGACCTTCCAAATCCAAGAGTCTACTGAGATGTGGGAAGGAAACAGAATGACTTCAGAAATTTAAAAAAATTTAATCTCTTGATATCTATTCCAAATTTTAACCATAAAAAGATACGAAGTGTTTAAATGAAGCAAAATGTACAAACGAATTTTCACATTTCATTCTATTTTTTCTTTGAAAAAGCATCACAGAAACTTTAAATTTTCTCATTTAAAATTTATTTGAGCCCATATATTTTTTTAACAGTACAAAGAATCAAATCCAGGGCTTCAAAGTACTCTACCACTAATTTGTCCCCAGTGTGACTGACAGTTTAATTATATGGACAGGAGTCAGCAATAGGTAAAAAATGACTTCTGTAACATTTTGAAGGTTTCATTTATGAAATTTGCACTTTTATTTAACAGGCCTGATTCTACCGAAAGCATAGAATAATGACGATGTGGATATAGCTCAGTGGGAGAGTAGCTAGCACATACAAAGCCTGGACTTGATCTCTGGCACTGCAAAACAATAAAACAAATTGAGATATAAAATAAGACATCCTTAATGATATCAGGGGAATCACCCAGATGTGACAACATCAAATTATACAGCTTCTGCACAACAAAGGAAAGAAAATAAAAAAGAAGTACAAATCAAAACTACACTGAGATTTCATTAACCCCAGGTAGCACAGCTATCATCAAGAATACAAAAAACATAAGCTGGCAAAGGGAAAAGAGTGTAAACTAGTACAACTACTATGGAAATCAATGTGCAGATTTCTCAAAAAACTCAATATAGATATATATACCACGCCTAGGTATACTCCCAAAAGAATTACAATACAGTGATAAATGCATGCCCATCTTTGTAGAGGCACAGTTTACAACAGCTAAGCTGTGGAAATGGGCTATATGTCTATTGATACATGAACGGGTAACAGAAATGCAGTATATATAGATGCAGTATTATTCTGCTATAAAGAATGAAATCATGTCAATTGCAGGAAAATCAATTAAACTGGAGACCCTTATGTTAAGCAAAATAAGTCAATCTCAGTTAAATAGCACATTTTTCCTTATATAATCAATGTAAAAACGAATTTTTAAAAATAAAGGAGAAATGACACAAACTAAAAGATAAACTTTTAGAGAGAGGTTTGGGGAGCAGAGAGCAAGGGAAAGGAGAGTAGTAAGAAGGAAAAAAATCAAAATATACTAAGGAAGTCACATTATTCTGTATCACTAATAGGCACCAATTTAAAAAAAAGAATCACCAATTTGGATCTTTCCAGAGCAGTGCTACACATTGTAGTTGTCACCATTTATTACAAAGTGAGTGTCAAGGGGAAAAAATGAGACTTCCTTGAATATGCAGTACATTACAAGTGTTGCTTACTTTCCAACTATGTTTCTTGAGATGACTTATATCTTGAACTTAATCACCATTAATATCAATTAGTATATAAAGCATTTTGAATATAACAGATTATAGTACTTAAAATGCAACAGATTTTTACAACATAAATGACTTATTGAAATGTATGAAAGATTTTATAAATAATGCTGGATGAAATGCATTCTGTCAGAATCTGTGATCTAACAACAAATTAGGAAGGAATTTTTTTTTTTTTTTTTTTTTTTTTTTGGTCTTTTTGAGACAGGGTCTCTCTATGCAGTTCAGGCTGACCTTGAGCTTACTTTATAGCCCAGGCTGGTCTCGAACTCGCAACAATCCTCCTGCCTCAGCCTCCCAAGTGCTGGAATTACAGGCGTGAGCCATCACGCCTGGCTAATTAGGAAGGAATTTGCTAAGGCAGTGATGGCAGACCTTTTTGAGCTTTCAGTAATAACACAGCCCACTGGCAAGCCATGGGTCACCACCACTGCTCTGAGGCAAAAAGATAAATGAAAACTGGAAGGCAGAGATCAACAGAGCAAGGCACCCAGTTTCACCTGGAGGCCTCTGCCCATCAGGAGAGCCTGCATTTTCATAGGGGGTTCAAGGGACATAAGACTAAACCGAAGATGGTCAAAAAATCTTTTCTAGTGAAACTGCAAGCAAAGACAAGGAAGACTATTACTGTCTCTTCCATTCAAGATTATGAAAAGGTCCTGGCCAATAAGACAGCAGAAAAAGATGAAAGATTGGAAAGCAACAAACTATTATTATTTATGAATAAGACTGTATTCAGAATATCCAAAAGAATCCACAGATAAAGCAATATTAAAAGAAAACTAGCCTGGCAACTTAACAGGACCCTGTATCAAATGTAAAAAGGGCTGGAAATCTCACTTAGCTGGACAGCAAATGCCTGGCATTTGTAAGCACCCGGCTCAGTCGCCAGTAACATGTACACACACGACAAATCAAAACCACAATGAGATGTCAATTATTTACCCACACACACTGGCAAACCTCTTCCACTACCGTGAGGTGGCAAACAACAGTGGGAATCTCCCGCAGGGATGTCTGCAGGAAGCAGGTTAGCCTCAGCCGCTTGCATGAACATACATGCACTCGCCGAGGCAGCAGCTTTACACCTTGTGTAAATCCACCAGCGAGGTACACGTGCATCAAAAGACAAAAGTGCTCACAGCATCACTGTTCCTCTAACTGTTTGATATCAATTCCTTTACAAACCTAAGTAATCATATTAAATATATTTTCCCTTAAACTTGAGTTGACTGGATTTTTTTTTTTTTACCTGTAATGCAGCCTTGCGTCAGCATTTAAGGGAAGAATAAAGGTAAATATTCATAATGAGCAAAAATCCTACTATTTTATTTACAGGAAAACAGTTATGTGTGGTTCAAAATCAAATAAACTACTCCCAGATTTAATAATTCACCAGCTTGGACCTTTAATATAATGCTAAATTATGCATATAATAAGGAAAGATATTAAACGATACATAATATTTAAAATTTACTTTAAGCAAGTATCACAAATTTCTATAATTGTCATGGTCTCTCATTAAAAATGATTGGTCTCAATTTTGAACAATCTTTTCACACTGTTATTAAACAAGTTGCAAAAAAAAAAAAAGCTCAAGATGCAAAACATCATGTTGTATACCATGAAAACACACTATTTTTACTTTTTTTACCAGTTAAAAAAAAGTTTCTCAAAAGTTTATACCACTTAAAACAAAAGAACATATGGAGTTATTATCATCTGGAAATAATTAAGAAGTAACAGGGCTGGGGATTTAGCTCAGCAGCATAAGCACCTGCCTGGCAAGCGCAAGACCGTGAGTTCAATACCCGGTACCAAAAAAAAAGAAGTAATTAAAGATGCCCTAACAGAAAATCTTTCCTTTTTAAAATACTGTTTCTCTTTGAGCATAAATAATCCACCAATTAAATTTTTCTCACTTTCATTAATGATTTTTTTTTCTCCTGCATATACATCTTTCATGTCAGATTTAGTCTACCATTATTTTAAATTCTAAATAAACCATAACACCTAGGCATGATGGTGCCTGTAATCCAAACACTTGGGAGGCTGAGGCAGGAAGATTGCCAAGAGTTTAAAGTCAGCCTTGGCTACACAGTGAATTCAAGGCCATTTTGAACTATACAGCAATACCCTGTCTCAAGAAAATAAATAAATTCTAAATAAACCATAACAAAAATTGATTGGTCTGCTCAATACCAAGAGAACAAATTTAAAGAACACTAGACAGTATCTTGTGATACTACTGTATTGAACTTCCAACTCTCTCCTTTTATGTTCAGATTTCCACAAAAGAAAAATCATTAAGACAAAATTGTATTATATTGAGTTTCAGGCATGTCACACTCAGCTCTAGCAATTTTAAAAAATAGTTTAGCTATGCTTAGGCAATTTAACAAGCAGTGCAAATTTCAACACCACAGGAAGAAGAGAGAATGCTGCCTACAGTGACTGCCACTGGAATGCCTGGACACTAACACTGAGATTCATCCTCTCCCGCTCTCTCCCACTCTCACACACATTTCTAAAGGAGGCAGTGGTTTCCTACATAAAACTATGAATAGTGGTTCAAATTCTAAGAGTCACCTTTAACTTAGTTATGGCTCTAAGACAGTAAGTTTTTTTATAAACTGGAGAGAGCATGGCTTCCAAAATGTTTTGATATAAAAGGATAACAAAATCCATACCTTAACATCTGAAAACTACTTTTCACAAAAAGAGGTGGAACTGATCTGTACTATGGTGAAACTGAAGCAACTCAAAGGATTTATTCAAACAGCAACATAAAACAGAAATTAACTTTTCCCTTCATGTACCTTTTGTTGAATGGTGGAATGTTTTTGTTCCATCTCTCTTTTCTCCTTTGCTGCATCCACAACCAGTCGATCCAACTATAAAAGGAGACAAAGATTAAACTGCACACTTAAAACTCAAAGAAAAAAATGTAAGGTTGGTTTTTCAAACTATATTCCAATATATTACACAGATAAACATAGCAATAAGCCATTCAACTTGTTTAGCTAAAAAGGCATTTTGGCTAAATATTCAAATAGAAATCCACTTTTCTTTTTTCCTGGTATTAAATCCTCCATGAGAAAGGATCTCCTCTGGAGAAGATCTCGGATTCAAGAACGGCCCTGGTGCCAAGCATGCACAACAGGAGGCCTCACCTTGGGCACTGCATGGTAACGTGTTCAGTTCTTGAATAAGGAAATGCCTAGCTGAAGGTCCTGCTGACCCGCTCAGCAATTTCTGCTCATTGCAGTCACAATTATAAGAAAGAGACACTGGCGATTTCCCCCGCAGAGAACAACATGTACAGCAGCTGAGCTAGTGCAGCCAAATCCCAGGGGTTCGCACTAACAGACACTGCCTGTCATTCAACACATTTTATGTTTACAAGGTGGCTTCCTAATGTCATGTGCAAATCTAAATCGCAGGGAAAAGTAACTGGCCAAATGAAACTGCTAAAGGAAGAACACTAACAAAAGAACAGTAATCTTTTACTTTAAGATGCCATTATCAACTCAGTTACTCACAGAATATCCCAAGTCACCACTTCCAACTAGGCCCCTTACTCACTAGGCACTACCAGCAGTGTGGCTTATTAGGTATTTTTCAAGAGCCTGCAAAGTTATTTACATTTGAAGGATACAAAACTGAAGTTAATAAGTGTCTAAAAATAAATTTTATTTCAGCTTGTCAAGTACAATTTTAATTCATATTGTTTTTCGAAATTATCTCAATGTGAGGTAAGAATGCAGTCTAATGTTTGATAGGATGTAAGTGCCTACAACCTCAGAAGGTCTTACTTTCCCGAAAGTCTGGTTTAGATTCTGGTGGTCTGGTGTGTTTCTGCAACAGCCTGTGGCCCGCCCCATATGGTGGGAAAGGCTAGAATGTTCCCAGTGTCTATTTTCTCTTTCTTCCGTAATAACAGAAGTCTCAGACTCCATAGGTCACGTTCTGGCATTACGCTGTATCCTAGGTTTCCTCACTACAAGTGTAACCTTGGCTAAGCACTGACCACTGGGATGTGCATACAAATGACATGTACAATTTCCAGGAAATGGCTTTATGGAGAGAGAATGTCCTTCTTTCCCTTCCTCCTGCCCGTTACCTGGAACTTCAGAATGATGGCTTCTACTTGATTAGCTACTATAAATCAAGAGTCAGAATGAATTTAAAGGGAAGGTAAGCCTGGGTCTCTGTCAATCAAATGGCCACAATACCACACCATTGCTTACACAGACAAGAAATAAAATTCTATCTTTTTGAACCACTAGTACTCTCACTTTTCTATCACTTGCACACAAATCCAATCCTAAATGATATATGCAAAGCATTTAACACAGAGATTAAGTCTGGTAGTGTGTTGGTTTCTTCCAATAGATTAAATTCAACAGAAATAGAAAACAGAGTTATATACTTCACGACATATACCCTGAATATAATATTTAGTCCACAGCATCTCAACACACATACCCCACACATACACTCTTGCTCTTTTGCATGTTTGTGTGGTATTTGTTTTGGTTCTTTTTTTTTTGGAGACAAGGTTTCACTATGCAGTTTAGGGGCTAGGTTTGAACTCACTCTGTAGCCCAGGCTGGCCTCAAAGTCACAGCAATCCTTCTGCCTCAGCCTCTCCAGTGCTGGGATTATAGGCACACACCACCAGACCCAGTCACACATGTACACTCTAAACAGTGAATCCAATTTTCATTCCAAGTTTACCTTTCCCTCATTTCCCTAAACTATATTTTCCATCAATAAGCCCTTTTCCTAAAAAGAAAACTGACTACTTCATCTCCACCCAAAGATGCTACAAGGTTAGCTAACCAAGGTTAGGTGTGGTGGTACATGCCTCCTGTACTCCCAGTGCTCTAGAGGCTGAGGCAGGATGATCACAGTGAGTTTGAGGCTAACCTGGCTTACACAGTGAGTTCAAGACCAGCCTTCAGCTACATAGTAAGACCCTGTGTCAAAAAAAAGATATGATGACAACAGCAAAAAAGCAAGTTGAACAATCTTGAGAAACATAACAACCTAAAGACAACCTATGTCATTAAATCAAGAAAGCTCGCCAACAAATATAAACAATGTCCCCAGGGGCAGTGGTGTAGATCAGTGGCAGAGTGTTTGCCTGCTGTGCATGAGGCCTTTGGGACAATCTTCAGCATCCCCGCACGAACACAGTTCCAAAACATACTGAAGATGTACTTCCGATCAGATAAGAAAGTATCTTCAGCAAAATAAAACTTCCCTAAACATAACTTTCTTGTAATATATGTTTAATTCTATCACACACACACACACACACACACACACACACACACACACACACACAGAGAAAAAGAGAGAGATGGGGCCAGGGATTTAGCTCAGTGGCTTAAGTGCCTGCCTGGCAAGTGTAAGGTCTTGAGTTCGATCTTCAGTGCCAAAAAAAAAAAAAAAAAAGAAAGAAAAAGAGAGAAAAGTGATGAAAAGTGATGAAAAATTCCCATAATCTTAAAGTTCTAAAAGTTCTAAAATTCTAAAATTTCACTACTCAAATAATATAACATAATTTTTTAAAATAAAAAGCTGAGGGCCAGGGATTTAGCTCAGCAGTGTAAGTGCCTGCCTGGCAAGCATGAAGTCATGAGTTCAATCCCCGGTACCAATAAATAAATTAATAAAAGTAAAATAAAAAGATGTAGAACTCAAAATGAAGGCAAACTAGGACAGAAACACAATTATCCAAGTGTAAGAAATTAAAAAATAAATCTATGTATGTTATGAAAACAGATACTACAGTCTTACATTTTCCCTTTTACCACTGTTATATACAATCTAAAACACAAGATTACATTTACCTTTACTCTCATTTCTATTATACATTTAACTGACATAAATATACTGCAGCATCAAACTTCTTTATGAAGTAAATGAAATGTCAAATCCCCCAGTATACTACATTTCTTTAAAAATATAAACATCAATGTAACAGAATCAAGAAATACACTGCAACAGTACCTGAGCTCCAAGATCTTTCATGTAAGGCCCAAGTTCACTGAACAGGTCATACCCTTGATGAAAGAAGGCCAAATGAGCATACATGAAGGACAACATCTAAAAGGGAAAATAAAAATTGCCATTTCAAATCCAATCCTAGATAAATATTTGGAAGTACTGTAAAGTCCTCACCCTGTTTAATGCTTAAATATTATTTCACAAGAGCCCACAATGTCACATCTATTTAAAATTAAACTGAGTCACTATTTTTAAAAGCATTTCATTAATATTTGTAAATACAATGAGAATTTTATTTAAAAGAAATTTCTCAATGGTTGGAAATTTTAACATGTCCCAAATGTGTACTTGTTTAGGTTATAGCTAGTTGATCAAAATTTATATAGCTATTCAAATAATGAAATTTTCAAGTTTCACTTCCTTCTCAGGTACATTATTAACTATGTGCTCCTTGAACTAGGCTCACTGGCAAACCTTAAGCAAGTAAGATATAAAAAGTAGAAAGAGGAAACATAAAGCTCTCAAAATAGAACAATCACAAACACTTTATCACCCACCAGATCACCAACCAAAATCTAAACTAGCAAAATGCTCCCACTCTTTCTCAAGATAACAAAATAAAATGGGTCAAAAGACTGCCAACTTGGAGAATTCTTTATATTCATTCCACAAATCCAAAAATGGCACTAAGGAATGCTTGTTTTAAAATTTTTCTATTTTTTACTTATCTGTAAAAGAAAAATCTTCCTTATTTTTATGCAAGCTTTTTCATAGGAAGGAATTACATTAGTATATAGTATTGTAAGAATCATCTGACCTCCATGTTTTAGCAAGATACATTTATTTAATGCTCTGAAATCAAAAATTGGTCATGAGGTTCTTAATATTCAAGAATCCTCCAAACAAAACTGTTTCCAGGAGAAAAAAACAACTAATAAAACCCAAAAATGCAAAGACAAAACTCACAAGAGGAAACTTTGGTAATGGCTTGTGAAAATAATTTTTTAAAAACCACTAAATTGTAAAAAAAAAAGAGAGAGATAAAAACAGACAGAAAGAAATGGAAGAGGGAATAGGGCTACATAAAACGTGAAATATGGCTGTAATATCAAAACATAATAGGCATATTAAAAGACAAATGATAAACTGGAAAAATGGATGACAAAGATTTGACCTCTTACTACATAGGCAATATTAAAAACAGTATAAGAAATAAACACTCCAAAAAAATTAAAAATAAAATGAAAAAGAAATAAACACTCCAACAGAGTAAGAGACAAAGGACATATACAGGATAAAGAAGTGACCAAAAAGGTTCAAACTAATTTGTACTGATGAAATGTAAAACTAAATAATGAGATCACAATTTCTATCTGCCAATCGGGTAGGAGGAAGGAAGCTGTAAAACTCCTTGTTCATAAAATGTGTAGAAGTATTGATTTACACACACTATTAGTAGAAATATGGTATAATGCTTGACACTTGACAATATTTTAAAAGACCTTATTCACTATTTAACTTCTCTAATCCTTTGTCTGTAAATCTAGTAATTTCCATATTTTTGACATTAAACCTTGGCAGTATAGAGTTAATTCTAATGAATAATTTGATTATTGTCAGGATAGATTTACAGACAACGGATTAGAGAAGTTAAATAGTGAATAAGGTCTTTTAAAAAGCAAATACAATGTGCAACACAAATATGAACATAGAATTTAGGAAAAAGCTAAGTGAGAACAAGATCTAAAGCCATTTAAATATACCTTTTGGGGGAAAAAATAACTTCTGTAAATAAATTCAGAGGAGAAATAATTTGGAAAGCTCTCAGAAAGACATCAAACCATCTTCCTATTCATGGTTCTGTTAGCTTTAACATCCAAAGAAACAAACACAGGAGAAGTAAAAAATATTTACCACCACTGTCACCAGGAAAAAAGGCTCAGCAATCCTGAAAGTTTACCTACTGGTCTGGGAACTGCACACACCAGGGAGCAAACCAAAAAGCTGAAACATTAGTGACCGTAAGGTCAATTTTCCAAATGATCTACTTCTGTAAGTCCTCAATCTCAAGTTTAGTATTTAAAAAATCTAGAAGAAAGTATAAATACCCTAAAAGAAATTGTACAGAAAATTTCTAAAAGCAACTACAAGTGAAAGTTCAAAATCTAAATATTTTTATAAATTTCAAAATAAATTCTGAAATATTCTCAAAAGTTTTTACAACAGCCACTTTCAGTTATTCACCAGTCTTGGGCATCTAGTGTAAAGCATTTTAACATTTCAGGATAAAATGAAAACAGTACAGCACTGACTCCATCTCTGTAAGAGCTAGAAGTATATATATTAATAGGTAAGATACAGATAAACAGCTGTAACATAATTGATACAAGAAATTACTTTGATAACAACATGAAGTACAAATGAAGATAAAAAGGAAGTAACAGCTTATGAAGCCTGGAATATATATTTAGTAAATGTTCCTATAAACACTTAAATATGTATAGCTTCACGTTAAAATATTTAAAATATTTCAATTAATATCTTACAGATTTGAGGATTTCTGATCTCCTTTTTGATTGAAGAACATTAATCTAGGGGAAAATACACTCGATTAATCACCTATGCATTATTTTTTTTTCTCTTTTGTTTTGTCTTTTTCCTTTTTATCGGTACCGGGGATCGAACTCATGACTGCCTGCTTGCAAGGCAGGCGCTTATGCCGCTGAGCTAAATCCCCAGCCACCCATGCATTATTTTTAAAACTAATCCATAATTCAATATTACAAAATTCACGTATTCTAATGTTTCAATTCTTTTCTAAAAAAGTAAAAACAAAACTCAAGTTTTTATCCTTAAGCCTTCATTTTGCAAAAAGTTAATATAAACATACCAATTCTGAACCACGGAAAATCAGCCACCTAAGTTACAATATTGAAGTGATAGGACTATTTTGACTTCCAAACTTCTGAGAATCCACCTTTTTTCCACTCTCCCTATTCAACTTATACATCAGGTTCAATGTACAATCTTAATGCACATGCAAATCCTCACCACATCTTCCACGGACTTGGCAGGAGTCTAGGAACCACTGTCTCACATCTACCCCTCACACCTACAGTCCATCCCACATAGGCACCATTACCTCCGGCTTAAAACTCACTCACTTCCTACCACGTGGAGTGAGACCTGCTATGATGAAGTCCCCCATCTCTCCAACCTAGTTTTCTAGTATTTCCACCTTTCTGCACTATAGTCACAGCCCAAGACTGTCCTCATCTCAAAGCCTTTGCCCTAGCTCTTCCATCTTCATGGGAGGACGGCTGCCTTCATGAGCACAAAGCTGTCTCTTACAATCAGGGGTCAAGCACCACTTCCTCACCAAGGTCTACTGCAGTTCCTTACACATTGCTTAGCACATAAACCCTATTTATTTAACCTCTTTTTTTTATGGTCTTTTCCTAAGCTAAAATATTAGTCCCCTATTCTCAGCTTTGGTCCTCAAGTAGCACATAATGCTACTTGTTAGAGTAATGGATCTTAAATATTGTAATTAGAGTAAACTTACTGAAAGATCAGTAAATTAAGAGATTTGCATTTTGGGATCTCTATGATCCTCCCCCAACTCCAGAAGTTCACAATAAACATTTTGTCTGTTATTAAACATCAGCTTAACGAAATGTTTACCGAAATCATTGTTTTGTTAATATTTTCAAGAGACTACAGAATATCTTTTTATATGTTCTTCCCACTGAATTCTCTATTTTTAACGATTTTTTTTTTTCCTTTTTATCGGTACCGGGGATCGAACTCACGACCGCCTGCTTGCAAGGCAGGTGCTTATGCCGCTGAGCTAAATCCCCAACCCCTTTTAAAGATAATTTAAAACACTAACTGGAAAACAAAAACAGATCAAGAAATGACTAATAACCTTTCCCAACAACTAGGCATTAGTTGCTTCAACACATCTGTTTCAAGATATTGGTGGGTCAAAAAAAGAAGATACCAGAGGGTGGGGAAGCTAACTTAGAACTGTCAGATGAACACCTAAAGAAGTAGGTCATTTAATAGGTGAAATTTTGAAAATAATGAACATTTTAGCTGAACACCCTCATATTAAAATACATAACAGTTAAGTTGAAAATTCACTCTTTGAAAAAACATTTATTATACATATTTTTTCTAACTACACTAAATTACAAGATAGGGACCAATCTAGGAGTAGAAAAGATATAAATGCATGTTCATGGTAAATGTGGTCAGTGATGTAACTGCAGTGCATATGAAAATATTACAGCAACAGAGGCAAAAGATGCAAAAACAGTTCATTCTGCCAGGAGATGTAAGCAACCCTGACCGCAGACCAATGTGAATCAGAGACAGGACAAGCACCGTAAAAAAGGCCATGTTTATGAGATTGCCCTACTAATATTCTAGGCGAGAAGCAGTTAGGACTGGTTTAGGACAGCAGCAAGGGGAAGTAAAAACATATTCATGGAATACAGAAGAGGAATTTCCAAGATGTTGGTGGCCATCTCCCACTGAGAACTCCATGAGGATAAGCAGGTGATGTCACACTGTCAGAACTAAGGCCAAGAGGGAAAGAAAAGCCACTTTGGAAATTACAGATTTCAGTTTTACACACTGAATGTGGCACTACTGTGAATAATGGATTTTGTCATTTATGTATAGGTAGCAATTCAAGCATACGACATGATGAGACTGTTGGAAAATAATAATAACAGAACCAAAGATGGGACCCTTAAAAGGAGGCTAAAAAGACAAAGGAAAAAGCTCAAGGCAGAAACTGCAAACAAACGGGAGGACCCAAAAGTGGGTTTCAGATAAATCAAGATAAAAATATACTTCAAGAAGAAGAGTGTGCTCTGCCACCTCAGTGAATGAGAATAGTCACGAGTTACTGTGCGTAGCCAGGCCAGCAAAGCGGGTGGGAAAGGCGCAGGGCTCACTTGCGGCAGGAAGGAACACTGACGGCAGGCAGAAAACAAAACAGACTCCTCCACTCTAGAAGCCTTCCAACCTCGAAGGAAACTCAGTGCATTTTTAACAATTTAACTTCCACAGGAACTTAGGAAAAACATAAAGTGTATTTTCTACCGTGTTGCAGTTACCCAAGTCATCTTTTACCACTAATTTGTGTATTATGGTATTTTTAAAAGAAATAAGCTATGACTATTATTTTGACTGTGAAGTCAAGCATCCCTGTGGACACTGCTGTTTGTAACATGAGATCTGGACAAGCTAATTCCCTAAGCTTTAAAGTTTTCAAGCTTTGAACCCCATGACACACATTGTAGCTACGATGCACTGTGAAATAATATATCATGCTGTTATTTTTCACTGGTTTTGAGTTCCTTTGAAGATCTATCACATTCAAATTAGTCTCAATTATTCACTGGATAAGAAGATCACCAAACACCTTACCAAACCCAAATCTCTAGCTTTTGCTTATGTTTTGGTTTTTGCTGTTTGAGAAGCTGGGGATGGAACTCAAGGCCTCGCACATAGTAGGCAAGTGCTATATCACTGAGCTACACCCCTCAAACCCAGATCTCTAGCTTTGAACTAGAACAGAAGGAGGAGGAAGAGGAGGAGGAGGAGGAGGAGGAGGAGGAGGAGGAGGAAGAAAAAGAAAGAGGAGAAAGAAAGAAAAAGAGAAAGAAAAGGAAGAGAAGGAGGACGAGGAGGAGGCAGAAGAGAAGAAGAAGAAAAAGAAAAGAAAGGACTTCTAGAAATATTTTTCACTGGGCAAAATAGTGAGTCTTGACATCACTAAGAATTTATTCTAAAGAAATGCAGATTATATATATATATATATATATATATATATATATATATGGATATTATTATCACAAACAATTATTTAAAGTTACAGTTTTACTATTTCCAGTAAAAACTTCTTAAAAGTCTGACAGTCAAATATAAATTGGGAACTACATAAAATATGTATAGCAATTTTTAAAATGCTTTTTAAAAACACTGAAAAATGGGCGAAGTTTTAATTAAGTGAAAAGAGAAAGAAATCTGAACTAAAGGCACATACATCCACACACTGGGTATGTACATACGCGAAAATATATATAGGTAAGTGACATTTTTCCAGGAAAGATCATGTTTCAATTTTCAACTCAAAGAAAGTATTATTGTTTACAGTGCAATCACTCAAAATTCGCACCTTATAGAGTAAGCCCTGTTTGAAAACAGAATAATTACCTGAAGCACATAGTCCAGGGCTATGTGTCGAAAACATTTTCTTGTTGCTGTCAGAATATTTGTGGCTTCTTCCACCTCGTGCTGTTTGTTTCTTTGAACTTGGGCATTTTTTACTAATGCGTTTTCTTTTTCTTCACTGACTTTTTCAAATTGCTTCTTGGCATCTTTGAATTTTCTAAGATCTCTAAAACACAAAAACTTAGTGAAACTTTCTTTCATGAAACTTTCTTGTTCAGAAACGCTGGCAACATAATTTTAGAATTTAATTCTTATGATCCTCCATTTATTTCATCATAAACTATTACTCACAAACTCTTCCAATTAAATTATATATTATTCTCCAATTATAAGTTGAGTACCCTTAACCTGAAATGCTTGGAACAAGAAGAGTTTCAGATTTCAGAGCTTTCTGGACTTGAGAATGTTTATATGGATTTTCCCAGTTAAGCATTCCCAATCCAAAAATTCAGGCCAGGGATCAAAAGGTTTGAAATTTTTGATTCTGAGTATTTCAGAGTTAGGGCTAGGGGTGCCTATTATTTTAATTAACGTAACATGAAGTGAAAATAAAATATCAAATTAACAGAAAGAAAAAGTAATTTTTTAACAAAATAAATTCAGGGGCATGTATCATTATTTAACCAGCTGACTGTTAAACAGTAGCATACATGACAAAAATCACAGGGCATTTGGGTCAGAGTAAATTCCCAGACCCTTTCTCAAACGCTAGTCTTTGGGATAAATCTTTAAAACTTGAGGATCAATGTTTTGTAAAGACACATCTTGGTTTTACTACTGTGGACACTCTAATGCTACGTTTTTATAAATAAATTTTAAAACACACACAATCATGTGTTCATGTATAGACACAGGTTAATTTCTAAAAGAAGAGTAACAGGCCTGAGACTTAGCTCAGTGGCACAGCACCTGCCTGGCAAGCATGAGGTCCTAAGTTTGATTCCCAGTACCAGAAAAAAAAAAAAAAAAAAAAAGTACCAGAAAAGCCCAACAGTAAGTATTCCATTCAATGGTCTTGAAAAGTAAAGCCTTTAAGTCACTGAGGACCTTAGGTTTAATCATGTAACATTTCTTTGCTTTTACTATTAGGGAACTAAGTAAAATAATCTGTAGAAAAATCATTTTTTAATCAAACCTAACAAAGATTGTAACTGAGAGTTGCCATAAATTTTTATATATACATCCTATGTGTCAGGCTACTAAGGAGTAATTTATAAAAAACTCTTTGCCACATCATTTCCACAATAAATTCTAACCTACTGAAACAGCAGTACATTATGCTAGTGAGTTCTGGTGCTATTTATAATTTATAATCTCTATAATTTATACTGAATATTACATCATAACCAATTTTACCTGTAATTTTATACAGTCTCTGTAAAAGAATTAAAAGAAGGGTTGGGGGTTTAGCTCAGTGGCATAAGTGCCTGCTTGACAAACATGAAGTTGTGAGTTCGATCTCCAGTACCCAAAAAAAAAAAAAAAAAATTAAAAGAAAAACTAAACTGTTAATGTGAAACAGGAGAGCTTTTCTAACTTTCTAAAAGTCTGGAAAGTTCACACTTCATTTCTACATCAATTTTATTTCACATATAAAGTATAATTAATCTGACACAAAATTCGCATATGTAACAAGAAGTATACCCTCCCATGAATCATTCTTATTCTCATATTGAGGCAAGAGAAAAGTTAGGTTCAACCACAATCACTAATGGTATTTCATGATCCTTAATTTCTCTCAAGAGATCATTTTCCAGATTATTAACAGGCTGCTTTGATTTCCCCTTCACTACAACTGACTTACTCTTTTCTTTTTGATTTTAAGAAAAAACAAATTTGAAAACCAAATAATAAAGAATATAATAGTTATGACATTGTACATTGTTATCTTCAAAATAATCAATACAATACAATACATGAATTAAAAAGACTCTTACTCTTTAACAAAATTCTGAAGCTGTGCCTTAATAGATCTCTGAGTTTGGTCAAACAGGATCTAAAATATAAAATGTAACATTGAGTGATTAGCAAAGTAAACAAAGAAAACCATTGTCTTGTACTTCTATAAATACCACATCCTTTCATCAATACTTCAATTTTCATAATAACTGTATTTCTTTTTATTGAATACTAGAAAAAAAGCATTTTAAAAAGAACTTGGATTACGCCTGTAATCCCAGCACTCAGGAGGCTGAAGCAGGGCAACTGTAAGGAGTTTAAGGCCGGCCCTGAACTGCATAATTGAAACCTTGTATCAAAAAGACAGGAAAAAAATTGGGTCATGCATTTAACTCAGTAGTATAAGTGCCTGCCTGGCAAGTGCAAGGTTGTGAGTTCGATTCCCAGTACCAAGGAAAAAGAAAATCACAGGACTGGGGGTACAGTGCCTGCATGGCAGGCATGAGGTGATGAGTTTGACTCTCGATTAAAAAAATAAAAAATAAGGGCCGGGGTGTTGGCTCAGCGGCATAAGCACCTTGCAAGCGCACAGTCATGAGTTCGATCCCCAGTACCAAAAAAACAAAAACCAAAACCAAAAAAAATTGCTTCTTTTTAACATTTAAATAGACTGTTGAAACAGTAAAGCAACCTATTTCCTTAATTTTAATTCAGGCTTTGGGAGAAAACTTAAAAGAGTAATACAAATTCCACTCCATCTAACGCAGATGCATCCCACTCCAACAGATAAAAGCACTCCAAATGAAACCACCCAGAATGCATGACAGCTGGGAGAGAGGTTGCTAACTTGAGAAATGTTGGGGACTTAAACATTGCATATTCTGACTTTAAGTTAAAGGATAGCTAAGGCTAGAGACAAGAGAATAAAGTCTTGTTCCTCAAGATGGTATTTTGACCTGTGTAAATGATGTTCCACACTTAACACTGATGGCTCTGCAAGGCCAATCTCAAGGACTTGTCACCAGAATTTCAAGCACTATCATAATTTACAAATTACTTCATTCAGAGTTTGAAACAGAATGAGATGAATGAGAACAAACATCAGTGTCCAAACAACAACAAAACTCCTGTGTCCTTCTGAGTAAGAACAGCAAGGTCGTGAGTTCAATCCCCACTACCACCCAAAGAAAAGAAAAGAAATATAATGTATACAGACTAGAAAGAACATAAAATTATGGAATGAGTGAGTTTAGCAAAGTTGTAGAAACAAAGTCTGTGCAAAAATCAGTTGTATTTCTACATATTGGCAAGGACCTATTAAATATTGGACTTTAAAACACCAAAAAGAGGAAACATTTATGAAGAAATCTATCCCAAGGAAAAAAAACAATATTTTCCTTGTATTATCATTGTTTTAAAACTTAAAAACATTACCATCTACATTCTCCAAAATATAGCATTACCAAAATACATTTTATATAGTTGGGCATGGTGGTACACATCTGTAATCCCAGTACTGGGGAGGGAGCCTGAGGCACCAGGATCACTGAGAGATTGAAGCCAGTGTAGGCAAGACATTTCTAGGCCAGTCTAAATTGCATAGCAAAACCCTGTCTCCAAAATACCAAAATAAATAAATTTTATATATATTTGAATAGAATGAAAAGCAATTCAAGGAACTAATCTTGCTATGTTGCCCAGGCTGTTCTCAAACCAAATGATCCACCACAGCCTACTGAGTAGTTTACACTAGAGATGCATGCCACCATCCTCAGCTGTAGCCTATTTGCACGCACACACACACACACACACACACACACACACACACACACACACGCACACACGCACACACACACACACAGATATGTATTATATATTTGAGGGGCGGAAGAGTCTTACTATGTACTTCAGGCTGGCCTGGAACTCACTATATAGCACAGGCTAGCCTCAAACTTGCAATGAGCCTCCTGCCTCACCTTCCCAAGTGCTGGGGTTACAGGGATACCCCACCACATCCAGTTCTTAGCCTGTTTTTAATATCTTCAATGGAGTAAAAGTATGTTGTAAATACAAAGGAAACTGTGTAACCGTCCACCACTTGCCAATTTCAAGCCACCCAGCTACCTAAGATAGCTCTTTATTTTTCTGTACTAAACTGCTGCACAGAACTACCCCAATACATCAGCTACTCCCTCAACATAATTACTGTCACTATACCTTGCTAAGAGGGAATTCAGTGTTTCTTTTCATATGCTAAAATAAACAGCTATGACAGCTAACACTTCCACTTCAGAAAATTAACAGTATCATTCCTTACAACACATATATGAAAAAAAATGTCATTTGACCCATCTCCTAATTGCAAAAGGATGCTATGAAAATGCAGAGAATAATATATGACTCACATAGCTCACATTCAAATTATTCCCCATTCTTATCTGGACCCAGTTAAAGTAACACTATCTCTGCTGTGTTCAAGAAAGGATGAAAGTCTGGAATGCATTTTGCAGGTGGCAAACAATCCAATCCAGGAAGTTCAGTAGGAAAAGAAGCCAAATATCCAATGATAGCACCAACCCTGCTTCTACTGCTTACCATTTATTTAGGTGCTACTCGACTGAATTTTGTAGATTAAAGTCTTTGTGGTCGACTTAAATATTATTCAGCCACGATGTCATGGCTGAATGTGATTACTACTTTTGTGATGATTCCACATGACTGAATTATTCCTGCCCCTTCTAGAATCTATAGAAAGTTGCAGGCTATGGCTTTTGATTCTGTGGATCCACTGCCTCCTTGAGTTAATCTCACTAAGCCTGTACTGAAGAATACTAAAACAAATCAAGACTCTTTGCAACCACCAGGAGTGGGTTACGGTAAGTAACGGAATGACTATTATCTGTTCCACTTTTTACACATCCTCTTCCTATAGTACTCTATTTTTCTAAACTCTTCTTTCCTCGCTTAGAACAGTGATACTACACTGATTTAGCTGTATATTAAAATCACATAGACAGTTAATAGCAAACACAAGTGCCCAAGTTTGTGGAAGAAGGATAAGATTCTTCTATATTTTACCAAGTTTGCAAGGGGATACTGTCACAGAAAGATTGAGACAAACTGTCTTAACTAAAAATCCTCAAATTGGTTGCAAAACAGAATAAGCTCAAGCTTTTAAACTTTAAATTGTAAATAGAATCTGAGATGATGAGAAACACTGATGGGACTGAGGACTCAATACTGTCAAAGCCCTCCAAGTGCACATGAGCATTACCCACTTTACTTGTGCACTTATTAAACAACAGGGTGTCTACAGAACCACCCCAGACTTAGAAGGAATGTAGAACAAGTTGCATTTACCAAGATTTCCAGGAGGCTGTGTAACTGCAGTGTTTGTCAGACCAGGCTACATAGAAGAATACCCTGGGGAGCTTTTAAGTTTATGGATTCCTAGCTCTTGACTCCCAAACAGTCTGACTTTGACTCGGCTGGGCTACAGCTTGGTTCATCTCCCACCACCCAATAGGATGACATATGTGATGCTGGCATTCAGGATATATGATTACTACATTAGTCCACTGATTGGCCTGGCATAGTTCTGGGTATGGATAACCAAAAGGCCCACCCTGAGTGTGGATGGCACCACCTGAAGGGCAGGCGGTTGAAAGGGGGAAAAGGGAGAGGAAACTGTGGTGACTGCTGCTGCTGCTTCCCTGCTGTGCTGCCTCCTGCCTGCCATGAACTGTTTCTCCTATGTGATGCCCCTCTGCCATGCCACCCTGCCTTGGAGCCAGCTGACTGCAAACTGAAACCTCTACAAACCATGAGCTACAACAGACCTTTCTCCTTGAACTTTGGGTGTTGGGTATTTTGTCTCAGCAACAAGAAAAGTAACTAAGACAATTGATATCCAAGATGAATAAAAGCAAACACCTGATTTGGTCTATAAGTCATAGTATGCTCTAGAAAAGTGGTTCTCAAACTATAAGTACAACAGAATCACTTGGAAGGTTTCTTCAAACACCAATTACTGGTTCCAGCCAATGAGTATCTACTTACTTCGATCTGGGTGGGCTCAGGGAATCTGGAGTTCTAACACATTTCCAGATGGCATCAGTAATGCTAGGCCAGGGCTGCTCTTTAGGAGACACTTATCTGAAACTTCAATAGTGGTTGTCAAACTTTACTGCAGGTCAGAATCACCTAGTACAATTCTTAAATTCCCCCTGTTTCTGCAGGTACACATCACTCTTCCATCAAAAGGTAATTTTTTTCCTTACGTGACCCTAAATCTTGCTTTGATCAAAAGAAGCAATGAAACCATGCACCTATGGATATCATACCCCAGAGAAAGCCAGCTATCACATTAAAAAATCTGAGGAGAGAGGCCAAATGCAGAGAGAAAAGTTTTAGAGGATAACAGAGTCCAAAGACTGAAAAGCAGTCCAGACATCTCCAGCTGCTCTAACCACTCTAGCTGAGACACGTTAGCTCCTCCAGCCACAGACAAGCCACTCAACCAAACCCAACTGAGGCAGAGGGCAAATTGGCCCCTCCAAGTCCTACTCAGTTGATGGTGACTGTCTTAACACATTCCGGCTGACTTGAACCAGTAGCGCATGCAAATGACTGTCCTATCAGGCAGCTTGAAGCACCAGCGGTACAAGTGGTACGGTCGTGTATTGGGACAGGCATGTAGGTACCAGTGGTGACTCAAGCCACCCAGCAAGACATACGGAATTATGGCTCTGCTATGAACATGGTAAGTCACTAAGTTTCAGGGTGGTGGTTAAACAGTCCGAAGAAGCACGATGTTGAGAGTTATACACAAGACACTGACATTTACAAGATTTACAGTGATGCTAAAAGCTGCAAACCATTTAGTATAAAGTTTAGAACTGCTGAAATTATATTTTGATATTATTTACACTGACTTCTGTTAACCTTCTAAATGTCCTAATTACTACTTTGGCAAAACTATGTATCCCCTACTCCTGTATATCCATTTTAATTATCAAAAACTATTTAAATTGTTTTAGTCACAGTTTTTCTGTTATCACTTCTTTTTGTTTTCCTTCAAAAATAAAAGTATACATG